CGTTGTACAGCTGCGGTAAAAATAAAAGCAGCCAAAAAGCATTCGATCATGGTATTCATATTTAATACGTATTTTCATACCTTCATATTAAAAGGACAATCCTTTTGGTTTTATATCCATTCACTTTTTTTATTAACACATTTATTTGGTTTAAAAACATAAGTTTGTTTTACTTGGAAAATAACAAATAATCTGCAAATACGATGGTTTTCAGTGGCGTTTAAATTTATTCAAAAAATAAAAAAATTTATACATTTTTTTTAGGTTCCAAGATTTTTTAAAATGTATTTTAAACCCTTCATAGTCTATCATAAACTTACAATTTTAAAATTTTTTTTATAAAATGTAATTCACAGAAAATCTTTCACAAGAGTTCACTTAAAAATACCCAAAATTTTAAGTAAAAATATATATATAAATTATTAAGTAGTGCTATAAATGCGCCCGTAGCTATTTGTGCAAAAATTGGTGCCTATGCCTGATTTTAATTGCTGTTTGTGTGCAAAGTTTGCTAGTGCAGTTAAATCAGCCTATCCAGTAGATGCAAAACTGCAGAGAGGAATTTGCGTAGGCACAAGCAACGTATAAAACTGTGCGTGTATGCCCAGCCCCTGAGGCTACAAAACTGTGGATCTCACCATGACGGGACATTTATTTTGCTAACCGTTCTACCTTTGTATAATAATGTAAAGAATAAAATTAATACATATCTTAGGAGTCACACATTTCTGTTGACTTGTTTTTATTGGACCGCGTCCTTGATAGCAATATTTCATTTATTTAAAGGCTACGTTATTTTCATTAGATTAAGAAAAATAAAGGGTTAATTACAGTTAACTTTTTCGGTAATTAGACGAAGACTATCAAACGTTTAATTTAATTTAAAGTTTAAAGTTTTAAAATGTACCAGAGAGTCTCTAAGTCTATGAGAAAGTTTTAGCTAACCTCGTACTAACTGCCATTTATCTCCGCTTTTCTTGCAGAATCGGAGAGCCATATAATGCATGCGGATGCCCTGGCCTCTGGGTATCCTGCTGCCTCGCAGCCCCACAGTCCGATAGGCCACGCCCTCAGCCCCAATGGCGTTGGATTAGGATTGAGCAATAGTAGTAACCAGAGCAGCGAGAACTTTGCGCTCTGCAACGGAAACGGAAACGGCAATGCGGGCAGCGCAGGAGGCGGAAGTGCCAGTAGTGGCAGCAATAACAACAACAGCATGTTTTCGCCAAACAACAACCTAAGCGGAAACGGAAGTGGCAGCAGTCAGCAGCAATTGCAGCACCAACAGCAGCAGCAACAGCAGCAGCAATCGCCAACGGTTTGTGCAATTTGCGGAGATCGGGCCACGGGGAAACATTACGGGGCCTCGAGCTGTGATGGCTGCAAAGGATTCTTCAGACGGAGTGTTAGGAAGAACCACCAGTACACCTGCAGGTATGTTAAGTATATATTCTCCATTAATGCAATACATTATCAAACAGAGGAAAAAACTATAAAACAGTGCTAAAAAATTTATTTTTCAAGTGAATAAATAAAGTTTTAATATTTTAGTTAGACTTTAAACTAAACATAATGCATAAGGCTTTAAAAGTATTAGAGAAGTTTCCCAAACACCGAGTCTATGAATGAAAAATCCCAAATTTTTTTTAATTCAGTTGATTAATTCCTAACTATAATATGAAATTTAATTTAATAAAAAAAAATTGATTGCAGAAAAGTGGTCTTTTTAAGTTCTCTCACAAAATTACAAGTGCAATGCTTCCTTTGTACTCCTTAACTCCTTACTCAACTCAAATTTTCTTTATCAGATTTTCGCGGAACTGCGTAGTGGACAAGGACAAACGGAACCAGTGCCGCTACTGTCGGCTGAGGAAGTGCTTCAAGGCGGGCATGAAAAAGGAGGCGGTGCAGAACGAGCGGGACCGGATCAGTTGCCGACGCACCTCCAATGACGACCCGGATCCGGGGAACGGGCTGTCCGTGATCTCACTGGTCAAGGCCGAGAATGAGTCGCGCCAGTCGAAGGCCGGCGCTGCCATGGAGCCAAACATAAATGAGGACCTCTCCACGAAGCAGTTCGCCAGCATCAATGACGTCTGCGAGTCGATGAAGCAGCAACTGCTGACCCTGGTGGAGTGGGCCAAGCAAATTCCGGCCTTCAACGAGCTGCAACTGGATGACCAAGTGGCCCTGTTAAGAGCCCACGCCGGCGAGCACCTGCTCCTCGGCCTGTCGCGTCGCTCGATGCACCTTAAGGATGTCCTGCTGCTGAGCAACAACTGCGTGATTACCAGACACTGTCCAGGTGGGTTAACCATATATTAATAAGTGGAATGTTTCTAAAAATTGGCTACATTTGCAAACCTATATACAGACATTTTTTAACTATTTTATAATTCTCCCTTGCAGATCCCCTTGTGTCACCCAATTTGGATATCTCGCGGATCGGCGCCCGCATAATTGACGAATTGGTGACGGTCATGAAGGATGTGGGCATCGATGAGACAGAATTCGCCTGTATCAAAGCCCTGGTATTCTTCGATCCCAGTGAGTTTTCCCCACGTTTATCCATTAGGACCTTTTTATTAATTTACAATAAACCATTTATAGATGCCAAGGGTTTAAATGAACCCCATCGCATCAAATCGCTTCGGCATCAGATACTCAATAATCTCGAGGACTATATTTCGGATCGGCAATACGAGTCGCGCGGTCGCTTTGGCGAGATCCTGCTCATCCTGCCGGTTCTGCAGTCTATCACCTGGCAGATGATCGAGCAGATCCAGTTTGCCAAGATCTTTGGTGTGGCCCACATCGATTCGTTGCTTCAGGAAATGTTACTGGGAGGTGCGTCCATATTAATATTACAGAATATATTCGAAATAATTTATTAATTTATTATTTTTGTGTTGATTTTGCAGGAGAGTTAGCCGACAATCCTCTACCTCTGTCGCCGCCCAATCAATCGAATGACTATCACAGTCCAACCCACCCAGGCAACATGGAGGGTGGCAGTCAGGTTAACTCCTCCCTGGACACACTATCCTCGTCTGGCGGCCCGAATTCGCACGCTCTAGACCTGGAGGTGCAGCATATCCAGGCTCTGATCGAGGCAAACAGCGCGGAAGATTCCTTCCGGGCCTACGCAGCCAGTACGGCAGCCGCCTCATCTTCCTCCTCTGCGCCCGCCTCCGTTGCCCCGGCCGCGATCTCGCCCCCGCTCAACAGCCCAAAGTCACAACAGCAGCACCAGCAACATGCGTCGCACCAGCAGCAACAGCAGGAGAGCGCCTACCTGGACATGCCCGTTAAGCACTACAATGGCAGTCGGTCCGGACCGATCCCATCGCAGCACAGTCCACAGCGCATGCATCCCTACCAAAGAGCGGTCCCCTCGCCGGTCGAAGTGGCCAGCGCTGGTGGCGGTATGGGTCTTCGCAATCCCGCCGACATCACACTCAACGAGTACAATCGGAGCGAGGGCAGTAGCGCCGAGGAGCTGCTGCGGCGCACTCCACTGAAGATCCGAGCGCCGGAGCTGCTCACTGCTCCCGCTGGATATGGAATGGGTGAGTGGCAAAGGAAAACGGGCGAAATTTGTTTAACTAAAATCCCTTGAAAGTTAGTCAAAGCTGTGCATATAGATTCTTTAAAATTCTCTATTTGTTCGGACTTTTTAATATGTAAAACTCTTATAACTCGAAGTCTGTAAAAGTCGAACGGGTTTAATTGTCACTCATTTAGAGGACATACAGGAGCTTTTTTAGCTATGACTGACTAACAAAAAGGTATAAAATGTGTTTTTAAGTACTAATTTTTATGTTTTCGTACCTTTTCAGAACCCTGTCGCATGACTCTGAAACAGGAGCCAGAAACTGGCTACTGAACGGATAATAATCGGTGCAATATACAGTTTGCAACACTACACCCTTTAGGCACACACCCCACACACATACAGGCCCTCTCTTGCTGTACTCCCCACCAAGTGTTACACGGAGATGAAATTAAAAATGAACTTACTTAATTGTTATGCCTTGAACCATTTTGATACTTTTATTAGCCCTTAAGTAGGTATCTTGGAAATTGTTGCTTAATTTTTAAATGTTTAATGCAGTTCCAATCTATTTTTGGAGTCATATTTTGCTCAAGAAGTTTATTTTATACATATATATATATACACCATCTAGCATGTACTGAGTTTGTTGGTTATTTGGTTATCTTATCCTTGTGCGTGGATCACAAAGCATTCATATAGGCCATGCAATATATTGTTTTAGGTTAGGGTGTTGTCTAGATTATGCGCTGAAAGTGTAATATATATTTAATGTTAAACAAAGAACTATTTTTATATGAGTATGTATAATATACAAACTATTTCTAAGATGGCTGAATGAATAAACACAAAATCAAAATAAAAATTGGAGAATGTCAACTTAAATCATTTGGTACTTGTCTTTTAATCTGCAAGTTATACATATGATATACATATGGTAATCTTGTTTTTCAATCTTCACGTTTTATAAGGTAATCTTGAAAGAGGTAAATTGTGTGGTATGTAGCTTTTTATAGTATAGATTAAATGCTGCTGGACGAAATGAAAGTGAAAACAGATGAAGGTGTCTATTTAACTATACTATTAAAAGGATGGCAAGATAATCAATCAATATAAAACGATTAAAATAAAATTACCTATAATTTATAACTTTTCCGTTTAAAGCTTACTAAGAAATCAAAAACATGCCAACAAAAAATCTTTCTGTTTAATTTTTTAGATTTTGGTGTTCCATGAATGCATTCGAATACCAAAATATTTTTATTTTAAGTTTTAGGCGTTGTGAAATGGTCTCAAAGTCTTCTTAAAAACTACTCATACTATTAGCGGATGAGAGTAGCTCCTTAAAATCTTTTTATATAAATTTGAACCACCCTGAAACATTTGGCCTACTTTGAATTACCTACGGACACTCGAAAGGTTGTCAAAACATAAAAAATAAAACACATTTTGTGATCTCTTTTAATGAACCGCTGGTTTAAGTAAACAGTTTACTTAAAGTGAATTATATATTTTTTTTTGGCCAGCAGGTTCTATGCAAAATTGATGTATAGCTCATTTCTGCTAATCAGAAAAATTATAACCAAAACATAAAAACTTCTTGCTATAGGAATGTATAATATAAAAATATTTAACTGCAAATTGGAAAGACAACGCTTTAAAAATAAATAATGCAAAAGCATTTTCTTTCTTTCATGTAAAGTAGTATCCAGCTTTAACGAGATCCTTAGCTCAACAAAACAAAATCCCAATAACAGAGTACAAAGACTACTTAACGTTTATTTATCAATATTGCTAATGCCGGTTTTCTCGACCTGGGCAAGGAGTTCCTGGAGCTTGTTGTCGAAGAGTTCACATCGGATGGGCATCTCCAGTGAGTAGAATGGATTCTTGAGGACGTAATCTGAGTACAACTCGTAAACCTTACGCAGCAGCAGATCGATTCCGTTGAGACCCGTCTCCGAGATTACAATGAACTTAATCCCGGTCAGCGTTTGAAAGCAGTGCAACGTAAAGGTGTCCGCCTCCAGGAGCTCGATGCCGGAACTCTTGGGTTCCGGACTCAGTTGGCTGGCGATAGCGAACAGTGGATAGAACATGCTGGCCAGGAAGATCTTCTCGTTGGTGGTCATCTTCGGCCGGCTGAACTTCAGGTTGATGGGATAGTTCTCTGGCGACTCCAGCATCGTCCTCACATCGCGTCCATCGTCTAGGGTGACTCCACTGACTGCCATACCATTGACCGCCACCAGGACATGACCCACTACAAAAAAGGATATGGTCAGCTGATCATTGTAACCGAATTCACAGACACACCCACCATTTATTCCATCCTTTCTGTTGAACGACACCGATACCTTCTTGGAATCGTAGTCCAGCACCAAGTCCAGGGGGTATGTGAAAGTCTTCTCGTGCTCAATGCGCGGCACATTGTTGTCCAGGTTGAATATAAGGCCACCCGATTTACTAACTATATAGACGCCATAAATAATCATGTTTTTGGTAGATCTTTAAAACTATCGATGGAACTATCCACTGTATCGATGGTTGGGAAACAGCTTGCATTATCGATGTATAATATACGATAATATCGCATATACCCACCGCATCATTTCTTGTGTTCTCGTCGAGAAGAGATAATACGCTTAAAATAGTTGTGGCAAAAAAAGAGATTGATTCCCAAGCACACAGGCACATTCCCAAGAAGAGAACGTGAAAATTGGAGTGAATAAAAACGCAAAACTAAAAACCACTTTGCCATTGCAAACTGGACTGTATTCCGCAAATAAAACCCGTACCCGATCAAGAGTCACTCGAATTTAACAATAAACACTAAGGCTAATGATTTATCCAGTACTATTGGCAAATTAGTGAATGAAGAAAGTTAAGTATGAGCGTTCTGAAATGCATCTAAAAAAATTGAAAAATTGTAAAAGTAAATATCACATGAAATACTTAAATACTTTATTTTGGGGATATACAGCTCACCAATGGCAGCAGCGAGTTGTAGCGACTTTTTCCACACATGTACTTTATATGGAAGGTGTTGCGGAACTTGTTTGCTGTTGCAGAAACGCCGCTAGTGTAAATAGGCAGTTAGAAACGAAAACATCGATGATGCCCGGCTAAATTTCGATGTTTTCAGAACATCGATGTACCTTCTTCCACCTCTAGAAATTGTTCTCACTGAGAACTTCTCAGGCGAACAGCTGTGTTGGCTTAGGATTAAAAATAAACATTGATTTTCTGCCCGAAAGTATACGTAAACGCGTAGGCGCTCCCCACCTGGCAGTGCACCCGATTGACCGACTTCAAACCTCCACGGCAACTATGGGCTCCGACGACCACAATGCGGGGGAGAGGATCCAGAAGGGATTCCAAATCAACTATATGATTCTGCGGGACGCCGACAGCGGAAAGATAATCTGGCAGGAGAACAAGGACTTCTCGGCACCGGATCTGGAGCACGAGGCCCGGGTGCCGGTGAAGATACTGGACATGCGGGCCGTTTCCCGTGAGATCAACTTCAGCACCATTGAGCCAATGGAGAACTTTCGGCTCGACCAGAAGGTGCTCTTCAAGGGCCGCATCATGGAGGAGTGGTTCTTCGAGATGGGATTTGTGGGCGCCAGTACCACCAACACCTGGCAGTCGACGATCGAGGCGGCACCCGAGTCCCAGATGATGCCCGCCAAGGTCTTGAACGGCAATGTGACGATCCAAACCAGTTTCTACGACAACGAGACTCTCATCACCAAATCGGTTGTGCGCCTGTACTACATTTAGGCAACTCTGAGTCATCTGGTCGTGACCAGGTACCAGGTGTTCCCATCCACTCACGCCTTCTGGATCTTTTTCAAGATGTTCTCTATAAAACCTACTTCGCTTTAGAGTACTTCTGCATTTCAATGCAATTGTTTGCGCGTTTATGAACTAGTTGTAGTCTAATGCATTTTAATCTAATTTTACATTTACCATATTAATTTATTAATAAAAAGTAACAAATGTAATGCAGATAAATGACGGAATGTCAACTCGAACGCAACAAGCATGCTTATGTACAAATCTTTTATAGACTGTCAAAAATTGACTAAAAATAGCTGAGAAATTTGTGTCATTTGAGATAATTTGTATCTATAGATCTCTGTACTACTTGAAATCAATCCATAAAGTCAACTTAAATTTGATGAAACGAATTTTAACATATACAATGTACCATAATTTGAGAAAACATTTGGATGCGTGCTCTACTTAAATAACAATGAAAGTACTAAAATCTGTCAAAGTTGTATTAGATATAGCCTAGCTGTACGCAATTTGTCAGCAAATATAAGCAGATGTTATAAGAAAATTTAAGATGCATTTATTTTGGTATGACATTGTGAAATTCGCAATATTAAATCTTTACGATATAGTAAAGCCATAATATTTAATTATTAAAAATGTTACAGATATGTGAAGATTAGTGGATACAACAAGAGTTAGCATACTGATATTTCTCATTTGATATAGATTCTGCTGATAAACTTCATTAGGAGAAAATGCCTTTAGGGTCCATCATAGAACAGGTTGTGTCTGGCTCTCTTTTACTTTCATGCCAACAAGCATAATCCAATCCAAATCGCGGGCTTGCCTTTTGGCTATACATCGCCAAAGTTTGCATTTAGATTGGCATCGCTGAATATTCAACGATTGCGATCGCGAAAAATGGCTATCAAGTTAAGAGGAAGATTTGGACAGAGTGCTGACTTGACCCCATTATAACCGAAATAGAACCCGCGCCCGGTCAAGAGTCACTCGAATATGTTGAGAAAGTCTTCTTGGTGAGCAAAAATCTAAGATAGCCAACAGTTCAATTCTATCCCCCAAAAGTAGCGGATCGAGGTACAGTCAAAACCTAAAATGGCACGGTTTAATGGAGTTTTGCTGCTCCTGGCAATCGTCCTTCTGGCCTTTTTCGTGGCCGATAGCTTGGCACAGAAGAACCCTAACAAGCAGAAGCAGCAGAGACCCGGAAATCAGGGTATGGGTAACCACAGAAACAAGCGTCCAAAGCCCCAACAGGGCCAGAAACAGAAGCCCAACAAGCAAAAGGTGCCAAATGTCCAGGAACCCAAGGTGTTCACCGTAACGGTCCCCGAACTGGGAAGGCTCCGAGGACGAACGCTCAGCACCGATTGGACTGGAAAGAAGATAATGCAGTTCTTAGACATTCCCTATGGTAAAGCGGAGCGATTTAAGGTGAGTAGTTATTTTCATCATAAAATATGGGTAACATCAAAGAAAGAATTTTATTGCATTCTTTTATTATTGGCAACGCTATTCAAAGTGAAAACGTATTCTCTCTTGTTTGTTATTTGACATGCGTCAACCACCGTCCTCGATAGTATAGTGGTCAGTATCCCCGCCTGTCACGCGGGAGACCGGGGTTCAATTCCCCGTCGGGGAGAATGTTTGAAAATGTTCTTTATTTTTTTAATTATGATAACATTTTTTTTTATTTTTGTTTGTAACTTAACGAAAGCCAAAACGTTTAACATTTAAAATTAAAAAAAAGAAATGAAGCAATTTTTATTAAACTAATTTTGTAAAATTGTATTAAGCCCCAGAAGTTGTAAAAAGTGTATTTGTATAACGTAATAACAACAATAGCTCAAGCTTTTGTTAAAATAAAGAAAAAACTCATTTTACACTACATATTTAAGGAAAAAAAAAAAATAAAAATGTTATACATGATAAAAAAAAAATTAAGAACATTTTCAAACATTCTCCCCGACGGGGAATTGAACCCCGGTCTCCCGCGTGACAGGCGGGGATACTGACCACTATACTATCGAGGACGGTGAGCGACGATTGCCCAATACCAGATACGAAACGCAACACAGAAAATTCTAAGTATTAATTTGAAAATATGCCCAATTCGTATTCAATTTTTATGTCTTAGGTTTTGCATAAAATCTATAGGTCCATTAACTAAATATATGCTGTTGCTAGATAATAAATTTATTGAATTGACGTTTTGATACATTTTTGCTTATTTATTTCAAACTGGTTATTGAATATAATAAACTAAAACTAAAGGATCAGACATATTATCTCTTTTTTTTAAATCCCTTTAAAAATAATGTATACTTAATAAAAATATATTTTCTTAAACATCTTGTTAATATGTAACATTTCTTATATTCTGATGGTTCATATCTGACTTTTCTTATCTACAGCCAGCGGGACCCGCACCAGCCTGGAGGGGTGTCCTTCCCGCTCATCGACCCCACGCCGGCTGCCCATCCATTCAGGAACTGCTCGTGTTTGCCAAGCTGGAGGAGGATGGCTTCGATGTGGAGGACTGCCTGCGTCTTACTGTTAACACCAAGGCGGTATGTAAATATGTAGCTTTTAATAATAATATATAAACATCTAAGTTGCTCATAATTACACCAAGGGATTGAAAAGATTTTTGAAATAATAGTTTTAAATTACCCAAAAAAGCAATATGAATGGGGTGAAACAAATAATGGTTGGAGTTAGAATCACTCTAAAGCATTTTACATGGTTTTAAAATCGTTGCTAAGAAAGTTTTCCATCCATTTTTTTTAGATGGAGGGCCAATCCCTGCCGGTGATGGTGTACATCCACGGTGACTTCTTCTACGATGGCGACTCGGTCGAGGCGGCTCCTGGCTATTTGCTGGAGCAGGATGTGGTCCTGGTGTCCGTGCGCTACCGCCTCGGACCCTTCGGCTTCCTGTCCACGCTGACGGACGAGATGCCTGGCAATGCGGCAGTCACCGATATTATCCTGGCACTCAAGTGGGTGCAGCAACACATTGCATCCTTCGGAGGCGATCCGCAGCGGGTGACGCTCTTTGGACAGGTGGGTGGATCAGCTCTGGTCAACGTGCTGACCCTGAGTCCGGCGGTTCCGACCGGACTCTTCCACCGCGTCATCTATCAGTCGGGCACGGCCCTGTCGCCCGCCTTCATCACTGATGCTCCTTTGGGGAACACCAAGGCCATTGCCCGCATTGCGGGATGCAAACAGGCCACCAAGGCCGACCAGCTGAACAAGTGCTTGACCCGTCTGAACGCCACCATGCTCCTGGCCGCCTTCAGTGTCCATGGCGAGGATCAGCCCTCGCTGTCGGGCGGAGCCTACGGCGGCGTCCAGCTTGTCATCGGTGGACCGTCCGGCATTCTGCCGGAGCATCCCGGTCGCCTCCTGGCCGCCGAGAAGTTCCAGGCCTATCCCACAATGGGCGGAAGCGTCAAACACGGTGGCAGCTTCATGCTGAGAGGTAAATTAATCAAATTGTCCTATTTTTTTGCAGTGTCAATCGCAGAAATTCACCAAAATGTATCTGCATTTTACTAAATCGTTATATATTGTCCACTTCCCAATTTGATAAAAAATAAATTGGTTCTGTTACCAAAAAAAGTAGTGACAAGTTTTGCCAACTTGAGGTCAAGTTTTGACTTAGATACATTAATATTAAACTGATCTTCACATATAACAATGCTCTTTGGGTATTGGAAAGTAATGGCACACAACCTCTGTAAAATTTCAAATGTGAAATACTTTTTTATTTTATATCTTCTTTGTTTTTTGCCATTGCAGATATCTTCGCGGATATCTTTAACGAGACAATATTGGACGATAAAATGACCGGACGGCAGTACATCGATACCATTATCGAGCAGGCTAATGGCGCGGATCCCACGGGATCATGGAGAGAGTTCTCCGACGAGGAGATCTTTACCGAGGCTGATGTTAAAAACGGCAGCTTTAGGCGCCTGACGCCAGGTCTGATCGATGTAAGTATTATCAACTTATATGTTTACTATATCCAGAAATAGATGTTTTTTCTAAAAATGTGACTTTATATTTTAAAAAAGTAGAAAATTATTTTCACGAATAATGATCATTTATTTGTTTGATTGTACGATTTAAATAAAGATAAACATAACTTGTTTTATTATAGCTTTTCATTTAGTATTTCATTTAAAGACTCTCTTGTAAAACAACATTAATCAAATAATCATTTCGATCCAGCTTTGCAGTACCATTGCGCTGAAGAATCCCGTGCTGCTGGTGATGCAGGCCAACGCCAAGAAGCTGCCAAATAGTACTTACTTGTACACCTTTGACTACGAGGGCGATCAGAATCGCTATGCCACTGGTGAGATTGAGGCCAGCTTCGTGCCCTTTGACATGGGAGCCTCTCTGACGGACGACAACCTGTACCTGTTCCCGTGGCCTCGATACCTGGCTCTGAACTCGAACCGCGATGTCAAGGTGGCCAGACGCATGGTGGCCCTATGGACGTCCTTCGCCACAACGGGTGTTCCCCGTGCTCCTGGCCTGCCTGACTGGCCGTCTATGAATGATGAAACAGGTCCTTACATGAGGATCGGTCGCACCGTCAGCTTCGGTGACAATTACCTGGACGAATACCGCATCGCCGTCGAGGAGGTGAAGCACGGATACAACCTGGTCAACGAGGACTACTACGATCTGGAGTCGGCTCTGTTGTCGGCCAGAAAGCAGGATACTGATAGCAACGAGGAGGATGAACAGGATGATGTCGAGGGCGAGGGCGAGGGCGAGAGGGCCAATGAGGCTGTCAGCCAGAATTTGGTCTTCATTGCCAGGAAGTCGACACGTACCCACAAACAGTGAAACCCTACTCATCCGATCTACTTCTCCTTGTATTTATTTAAGCAAATAACTTCTCTAATATATTTCTGAAATCAAAACTTTCCCACAAATCACAATTTTTTTATTTTAAAGGGATTACATTTTACTTATTTAAAAGTGTTAATAATGGGCTATAAACAATTAACTACGCATTTGGATTATTGATGTAATATGTAAATCATGTTGATCATTAGTTGATCGTATGAGTAACTGTAACAAATGCGATTTAGCGCGGCGAAACTGCTTGATTTAAAAAAGTGCTCAAAACATAGTTTCGAGAGTTTGCTTTCTTTATTTGCCCCATAAATCATATTTTGGCTTTGTTCAGAAGCCGCTTCAAAATTCCAGCTGTGAGCAAAATTCAAATTAGAATTTTCAAAGGAAGATAATGAAGTAAAAATTATGTGTGACAGCTCATTTGTTCTTCGGATTAATTAGTTTGTTAGATTGGTCCAGAATTGGTAGACATTGATGGAAAAACATCTTTAAAAAATATTCGGCTTGCTTTGATTAACTTAATAGTTTTTAATGGTTAATCAATTTCAGGTATGTCAGTGATGCTCATCGCTTTCTTTTGATGTAATTGAGAGTGTATATAAAATAAATTAAAATTGTAATATATACATTATTAAATCTTTTGTTTTCTTCAAGTTTAAAAATATTTATATGCTAAACAAAGCTGTGTCAAATATTTCTGTGACATTGAGCTCGTCAACAATAAATTCCTAAGAAGAAAAATTTAACCTGTTCACTTTCTATCTTCCTTATATAGTGGGGTTTCCCAAGTTTGTCTATAGTTAAGCATAGTCAAATAATGGAATTATCTCGTGCGATTAGTGAGAAGTCGTTGATCTTTTTTGGCACTGAAGCGTTACGAATGCTTTCTCCCGCAGCTCGAGATGATGATGATTGATATTTTGCCTTGCACTGTGAATACCAGTAGCGAGGAGAATTTCTGGAATCAATTAGGTATAATTTAAAATTTAAATCTATTCCAGCATCTTTAAAGAAATTAATTTTGGCTGGCGCTACCCGCACTTTCATCGTCGTGAGAAAGACAAACCAAGTTAATGGTCAGTGTCCAATGTTTGCCGGTAAATATTCGCATCAATCTGAGCGACTAATGACTGACTATCGGACAAATCAAGTTCGGCCAGCGGCTGCTCTTTAAGTTTTCGCTTTTACTTACAGATGATCAACCACGCAGCCTAGCAGCTAAAACCGGAGCAGCGAAATCTGTTCTTGCACTCAAAAAAAAAAATATTAAAAATAATTTAAGGTTGTAAGCCCTGAACATTTATTCAGGGTATACATGTTATTGATCTAATGGATTCGGTTTATACATATTTGGACTTATTGTTCGGAAATTTTATTCGAGGATATAACCAATTAATTACAGTTTTTGAATGTTTCAAACGATGAAAATAAAACATTATGTTTTATTCAATTTTGTTTAAAGAAATTTAATTACTTTTAAAATCTATTACATATAATATGAAATATCCCTTAACACACAAAAAATGTAGGAAAAGACAATAGGTATGAAATAATTTTAAATTTACTAATTTTTTAGTTAATAATAATTTTGTTGTGTGTATCTATTAGCATAAGTCTGTGGCTCGAGCCTCGGGGACGCCGCATCATTTGCAGTTTATTTCGCGTTTTGTTTTAGCCAATTTCCGTTTGCGAACTCTTCATTTGGCTATTTCGGTCAGACCTGGGGTGAAACTTCGGGTCAGAGCGGACTAAAATCTATTGGTCCCGGCTAGTCACAGATCAGTTGCGTTCGGTGCGCTAAAGAGAGTGTTGGTTCGATCCGCGGAATCCTCAAGAAATGCAGCTCGCGTGCTGGCTAATTGTTTCCCTGGCACTAGTCCTGCAATCCGGGGTGGAATCAAGAGTTCGTGGCAGGCAATACGATGAGGAGAAAGACACAATCGTGGAACTGCCCAAATTGGGCAGCATCCAGGGAAAAATTCTCGAAACCGCCTGGACAAAACGCGAAGTGCTGCAGTTTGTTGATGTCAGATATGCAGAGCCTCCGACGGGACTGCATCGGTTTAAGGTATAAAAGTTCGGAAAAATGACTAGTTAAATTCTGGAATATTTCATTTATACTATTACAAAACTAAAAAATAGTTTAAACAGAAGCAATAAGTGTGTCAGCAGAACAAAATTAATGAAGCCATGGACTAAACAAAAAAAATTATGCAAAAAAAAAATCATCGGTATGCAAAAAGGCAACCCACAAACGAGTCTCGCCAAAAACTCCAAATAGAAATGTTTTATTTTATTGAGAGTCTGGTTTCGCAAATTTAAAACTTTCAAAATTATGTAAATGGCTGTAGAGGCAATAAATAAACATTCTAAGCAAAAAAACAATTTCTCGCATCTCCCCGACGGGGAATTGAACCCCGGTCTCCCGCGTGACAGGCGGGGATACTGACCACTATACTATCGAGGATTTGATACAACGCATGTCAAAATGGTTATATTTTCCCCGTGCGCACTGCACTCATTCTGCAGTCCTAATCCAATTAGATAAGGGAAAGCAAAGGTTATTATTAGGTTAATAAAAAACAATGAGTCACTCACGAACATTTATACCTGGAATTTATGTTAAAACACAAAGAATATGAATTTAAGTTTTAGTCAGATAAATGTTTTCCTTTTGTGAAAGCATGGTATTTTAAACTAAATAATAAACTCAAATTAGGCCGAAAAAGTTAAATGGTGTTCGTTGATATATATTTTTTTAAATAAGCAATATATAAAAATGGAAAACATGGAAAAAATGGTTTGTAGCAGGGGAATGAAGTTATAAATCTTTTGTTATTTCATTTATTTGGAATATCATCGCTTATGTGGCTTTTATTCGTTTTTACAGGCACCCAGACCAATTGAGCCGTGGGAAGATGTGATGGATGCCACAGCGGAGAAGATCGGTTGCCCATCGGTGGTTTCGATGGACTCGCTGCGGAAGTTGGATGACGTGTTGGATGTAGAGGACTGCCTGACCATGACCATCACCACTCCGAATGTGACTGCACGGCTTCCGGTCCTGGTTTACATCCACGGCGAGTATTTGTACGAGGGCAGCAACTCGGAGGCTCCGCCGGACTATCTGCTCGAGAAGGACGTGGTGCTGGTCACGCCCCAGTACCGCCTCGGTCCCTTTGGCTTTCTGTCAACAAAGACGGATGAGATTCCCGGAAACGCCGGCTTTCTGGACATTTTCCTGGCCCTGCAGTTCATAAAGCACTTCATCAAGTACTTCGGCGGCGATCCATCGCGGGTCACGGTGGCCGGTCAGGTGGGTGGAGCGGCCATTGCACACCTGCTCACACTGTCGCCGATGGTCCAGCGTGGCCTCTTCAGCCAGGTGATCTACCACTCGGGATCGGCCATCATGCCCATCTTCCTGGAGGAGAATCCGCGCATGCATGCTCAGGAGATCGCCAAGAAGGCCGACTGTCAAATGGTGACAGTAAGGGACTTAAACACTTGCCTAATGGAACTCTCAGCCCTGGAGTTGCTCACTGCCTTCATGGATCATGCGGTAAGTAGTCCATTGAAGCCACTATTTGGTAACCGAAACTAGAATAGATAAAATCAATTTATTTGTTTATTAAAAATCGAAATGTTTAGAGCGAAACCGACCGATTAAATTAGAAAACAGGGCTTTAATCTTAAAATGACCATTGGTTTTATGATAACTATGAAGTAAACATAGACGCTAAAATATTATTAGAAGCATCCATCTTGAATTTGTCTTTATCTTATCTTTATTATTTACATGATTCAAAAGTATTTAAAAAAAAAATATTATTTCTTAAGCTCTATTTAAGTCATTTGTTTTTTTTTGCTCAGAAAGAAACACTAAATTGCCACACCTAATTAGATAGGCTTACCGATGTTGACAATTTCATGTCAATGAATAAAAAATAACATTTTAGAAAAATTAATATTAATTTTTAACCTTGCAGCTGGAGAAATCCGACCTTGGAATTGGCCATACCGGTGGCATTCAGTTCACCATTGGCGGACCAAGTGGAGTGTTGCCCAAGCATCCGTACGATCTCATGCTGGAGTCCAACTTCTCTTATCCGGCAATGGGTGGTTGTCCGAAGAATGCCGGATCTCGGGTGCTCAACGAGATTGTGGACAACGACTTTGAGGGAAAGATCCCGGATGACGAGTACACCACCTACAACTACATCGATCACGTTATCCGCCAGGTAGTGGGAACGGACAAGTCCATGCTCCTCACCAGCTTTGTAACCCACGAATTCTTTAACCGCAACATGCTCGAAAACGGCACCTTTGACACACTGATCCCAAGGCTAATTGATGTAAGTTAAACCCTTATTTAAATTACTTAATAAGTTTTAAATTTGGCAAAAGAAAGTTGATAAATAATCAAAAGAAGGTATCCTTGTCAAGTAGAAAATTATCTGTCTTTAATTTCAACCAAAAATATTTATCTGTTTTTTTATAAAACCTTTGTGTTTATAAATCCTCTAAGTTTGAACTGGATATGGGCTAAATATGTGTACAAAATTCTGTCTTTTAAATTGGAGTGGTTATCAATAAAAATTTTGATCAGGGTTTTTAACATTTTAAAATATTTTCTAATACATTAAAGTACTTTCAAAATTGAGAGTCGAAAAGTTATATTAGAAGATTTGTAAACGTTCTGAAGTTACAAAAAACTTTATTTTGTTTTACGAATAGTATCAACCATTTGAAGTATTACAGCAAACTAATCATAAACTCTGGTTCCTTTCAGGTGGCTGGTACGCTGAACCACAAGCTGCCAGTTCTGCTGGCCCTGAACATGAACAACAAACACAATCCGCACAACACCTTCCTCTACTCGTTCGACTACGCGGGCGAGTTCAATCGCTACAAGGAAATGGACGAGGAGACCAACATGCAGAGCCCCTTCAAGGCGGGCGTCTCGCTGACCGACGAGGCCCTCTACCTGTTCCCCTACCCCGATCACGTGAAGCGCCTCAGTCCGCCGGACGTGACGATGGCCGTCCGTATGGTGGAACTCTGGACCAACTTCGTGATCACCGGCAATCCGTTCGGATCCTACCGCACCGGCTACTGGCCGCCGATGACCACGCTGTACGGGCCGTATTTGAAGATCGACGAGACGCTGACCATCGGGGGTAACTTCTTCGGCGAGTTCTCAGCCACACTGCAGGACGAGGAGCAGGGCCACAGTCTGATCCGGGAGATCTACTACCTGCGCAGCCGGAGTCGGAAGCGGGCGCAAAATAAACGCCGGAAGCAGCTGACCACCTCCAAAGCCTCCTCCGCCAGCACTGTGAAGAAGCTCGGCGGACGCAAGAGCCTGGTGAAGCGGCCCAACCGCAATAAGATTCGTTTTTGATGCGTTTAATAGATATAGAATTTGTAAAACCTAAACAATTATACGATTATACAAATATTATTTATTCAAAAACTTTAGCCCTCCAAACTGATAAACTGATAAATTATAATATTTAAAAATCGCACTTTAAATTTGGGTTTATTTCTTCAGATTTTGCAATATAAACACTTTATATTGTAGTGATCAGACTAATAATAGTGAAAAAAGCAAAGTGACACAACAATGAAACTAAGAAGTCACAAAATGGCCATCAAACATTTGTTGGACATAAAATAAGATCACCAGTTATTAACTCCCAACTTTCTTATCTTGCTCTTATTTTGATGTTGAAGTAGATATAGCTCTGACCATTAATCCAAGACAGAAAGTGACAGTTTTCAAACTTAATTCTTCTTTGAAGTAGATATAGCTCTGACCATTAATCCAAGACAGAAAGTGACAGTTTTCAAACTTAATTCTTCGGGACTGAAGTTTTCAAGCGATTTCCCCTTACCATTTTCGCACAAAGGATGCCTTGCGTTATTCGCCAATAAGAGTAAAGAACTAAAAAGGAAACATTATATTGAGGCAGTTCAAATTAGTTTTTAAAGTTAAAAAATTTGTATTTTTATGCATATATTTTGAAATATAAAGAATATGTAAGAGGTAACATCTACTTCTGACTGTGCCTAATGTGCTGCGGACCATTGATTAGGCTCTTCAGTTGCGAAAATAGCCGGAGGGAGTTTTCCCTGTTCGGTTGGGCCCTATGACATTCCTCCTCTGCCTGTTCAGCCTAAGACGATATTCCTCCTCCTGTTGAGCCCTAATACGCTCATCCTCCAACCGGTATTGTTCATCCCGTTCCTCTTGCTGCTTCGTTGCGGCCAATATGTATGCCTCATAGTTTTCAAAGTCCGCGGGATTGAGGGCATCCGGGTCTGTTTCCTCGTCCTGGGACCGTTCTAATTCCTCGTTATCGGAATAGCTGTTGCGATTAACTACTTGATCCTCGCCAGCCTGTTGATCGCTTTCCTCTTCTTCGGCATAGTTGGGATCGGAGTCGTGTGTTTCTGGGAGATTTCCTTCCGGATGCGGATGCCTCTCTTGGTGCAATTGTTCTTGCTGCTGTCGCTCGCGTTCCTGCTCCTCGTCGTAGTTACGATCACGTTCCGAATTTGATTCTTCTTGGGCCTTTAAGTACTCCTCGTAGCTGGGGTAATCTTCGGGCTTATCTTTTGGTTGATCTTCCCGGACCCAATCTTGCCGCTCGCGCTCTTGCTCACGTTCGCGTTGCAATTGATCTTCACGATCTCGCTGTTCCTGCTGCTCTCGACGAAGTTGCTCTCGTTGTTGTTCCTCGCGTTCCTGTTCCTCGTTGTAGTTACGATCGGGCTCGGGATCGGAGGGATGTACATCGTATGAGGGATCTTCTGGATTATCCTCGGGTTCTTGTGGTTCCTGTTCTTGCCTCTCTCGTTCTTGCTGATCTTGTTCTTGCTGCTCACGTTCTCTTTGCTCTTGATCTTGCCGATCTCGTTCTTGCTGATCTCGATCTTGCCGAGCTCGCTCTTGCCGATCTCGTTCTTGCTGATCTCGCTCTTGCTGCTCTCGCTCTTGCTGCTCTCGCTCTTGCTGTTCACGCTCTTGCCGCTCTCGTTCTTGCTGCTCTTGCCACTCTCGCTGCTGTTCCACTTCTTTGTAAGAGGGAAAGCCGTCATACGGATGCTCTTCTGGATTATCTACGGGCTGAGGTTCTTGTTCATATTGCACTTGCTGCTCTCGTTCTTGATTGTACCGCTCTTCCTGTTCTCGTTCTTGCTGCTCGCGTTCTAGCTCTTGTTGCTGACGCACTCGTTCTTCTTCCTCCAGGAGCTGTCGTTCTCGCTCTGGCTCGTCTTGCTCTCGCTGCTGTCGCTGTCGCTCTCGCTCTTCTTGCTCTCGCTGCTCTCGTTGTCGCTCTCGCTCTTCTTGCTCTCGCTGCTGTCGCTGTCGCTCTTGCTCTTCTTGCTCTCGCTGCTGGCGCTCTCGCTCTTCTTGCTCTCGCTGCTGTCGCTGTCGCTCTCGATCTTCTTGCTCTCGCTGCTGCTGCTCTTTCCAACGTTGCGCACGATCGCGAATAAACTGCTGCTGTTTGGCTTCCTGATCTTTCACATAATCGGGATTGGAAGGATTCCAAGTCCGAGGCTGCTGGTTTGGCCTGCTTGGCCGATTGTACGCGTGCGGACGTCTGGTAGTTGTAGTGGTAGTCGTGGGGCTGGGATATGTTATGTTGATGGTTGGCTTAAAGCTCTCCCCGCTAAGATTGGGCAAGTTAAGGCCTTCTCCAAAGTGCGGGTCCAGTTCGAGAAGAGGAATGGAGTTACTAAAGCGCAGGAAGGGGCCATACTCTGAGCTAGCCCGTGGCCATCCACCGGAATTCTGATTGGGTACGCCAGCAACAGCAAAGTCCACCCACTTGTCGACCAAAGAGTTAGACACCGCACTGTCAGCGGAATTCAGGTGACTGGACTCCGGCGGATAGGGAAACAAGTACACACCGTCATCGCTGAGAGAGGCATCCACGCCGAAAGGAAGGGGGTTGCGCAGGTGGAAGAACCGATGGTGCTGTCCGCGATAGGCGAACAGGTACAGGTAGGCCGGGACCGATCGGTACGAATGACGGATGGAGTTGATCACGGGTGCGCGGTACAGGATGTAGTTGCTCAGCTCCAGCAGGCCCTCGGCCACAGACTCCGGGCTGGCACTTCGCTCCTGGTCCGTAAGGAAGATCTCGCGCAGAGCAAACTGCTTCCAGAAACGGTGCTCGCTGGGCGGGGCCGTGTGGCGCAGCACTACGTCGATGTAGTCACTCACATTATACGACCGAAGAGAGGCGATCTGGTCGTATACACCTGCAATTAATAAAAAAAGGCAAATGTTTAAGGCATTAAACAAAAAGCAAGAAGAAACGCTATGGACGAGAGCCTCGATACCCTATATGATATCCGTTGCTCAGCTAAACCATATCAAATAATAATGGCGAATTTTGAATATTTTAGGAAGCCTCATTAACAGTGCAAACACCACAAGCTGAGAATGGGCAGTACCTCCAACTTAATAAGTCCTATAACTTCTAAAGTCCTGGAAACATTTTCAAATATACTTGCGCTGCGTAAGAAAACCTATAATCATCTTGCTAAATTAAAAATATGTAGCTCTTGTAGTTTCCGAGATCTCGACGTTCATACTGACGGACAGTCGGACATGGTTATTCGAATCGGCTATTGATCCTGATCAAAAATGTATATATCATACTTTATTGGGTTCAAAACTTCTACCTGCATACTTTCCAACGAATTTTACTTTATGATAAACGTGTATAAAAAGCAATAGTTTTATTTTGAAATAGTTTACAAATCTTTTTGTCACTATTTACAGTAAAATTGAATTTGCAATTTTAATTTAATTTCCATTTATAAGAAGGAAGAAAGCTTTTATGATTCTATAAAGTAAATATTTTTTATTCATCTGCACGAACATCAAATTCACTTTAGCCCATTTGGTCATTTTGCTAACAAGGTCGGCCCAGAAAGATTTTGGGAAAAACCGAGTCTGAGAGAGATTAAAAAAGCATTCAATGATACGAAATCATTTCCTGCCTGCCGACGAAAATAGCACCCAAATCAGTCACCTTTGAAACCGACAAAGATTAATTCCTCTCAACATAAGTGGAACCCGATTCAGCTGTCTAATTGCATGGCACCTAATCAGTCTGACCTCGAGTCCAGCATCTAAATCGCCAACTGCGACCCTGTCCGAATCGAAACAGATTAGATTAATACCGACATGGATCGCAACAATTATTCCAGTGTGAGTGTGCTTGATCTAAAATAGTTTTTGACTGGACCTTTTAGGTATTTGTGTTGTTGGATGCTGATAAAGTGATATAGAGCTCTGTATTTGTCAAAGAACCAATAGTCTAAAAGAAAATGTTTTTAATTTTAAATTTACCATGGTTTTTTTTCAATAAATCGGATGTGGTAACTAAAACCAAATATAAAAGGCAGGTTTTTCGAATATATTTTTTTTGTTAGATAAAATCTTCCACGTTCTTCAAAAAAAATAAATAAATGTTTGGGACCAAAAATTAAAGTGTAGCACTTGTAGGCTTTCCCTATCCTTTTCTTACTCAAATCAGTATTTTCTTTTATATTTGAATCTTAGCGATGAAGGATTTGGATCACATTTTTTTCCGTTTCCTACTTTATCCCCGAAGGCTCTATACATTTTAGTACTCACGCGACAAGATGAAGGCACCGGCATCCTTGGTGGCGCCGACGATCATGGGCAGTGCGTTGCTGACGTTGGCGGCCAGTTGGGCGGGGGGGCGTGGCAGGTAGCCCAGGCGATCGCCGACGACCAGCTTGAAGCCGCCAATGTGGGCCAGGCCAAAACGCTCGTTCTGCTCAAACAGTTGCTCGAAGGCGGCCACCAGCTGGGAGGTGGGCAGTCGGGCGATGCAGGCGTACAGTGGTTGCAGACCCCGCGCAGTGGGCGTGGCAGGTGGACAGCGGGCAAGGCGGGCAAAGGTGTCCAGGGTTTCAAGTGGACGCTCATCAATCAGGTAGGGATTCAAAGCGGTGCCCGACTGCAGGATCAATTGCTGGAAGAGATTTTTGGCCCGACCGCTGAGGCTCAAAGCGTGAGCCAAGGTGGCCCCACCAGCCTGACCCACCAGCGTCACCTTTCCGGGATCGCCGCCAAAGTAGGGCAGATTGCGGTGCAGCCACTCCAAAGCCAGGTGCAGATCCGAAAGAGCCACGTTTCCGGGCAGCTCGTCGCTCAGGGCGCTCAGGAAGCCGAAGGGCGCCAGGCGGTAGTTGATGGAGACCAGCAGCACATCCCTCTCCAGGATGTAGTCCGGCTGGCCCTCCTCGGCACCGCCGTCGAACAGCATTTCGCCGTGGACGAAGACCAGGACGGGCAGCCGGTTTGCATTCTCGGGTGCGTAAATGTCCAGGGTGAGGCAGTCGTCGACGTTCTCGCCCCGCGACTCCGCCGTCCTCAGGCGATCGAGCTCCGGAAACTGGGCGCAGTTGGGAGACGGGACGGTGGCGTTAATCCTTCCCTGGAAGCCGACTGGTCGCGCAGCCTGGAAGCGGGCAAGGCCGCCTCCAACTTGGCCGTAGCGCAGACCCAGAAAGGCATTCACCGGGCGCCTGGCAGTATTCCTGAAGGCTTTGACTCCCGCGATGTTTCCGATTCCGGGCACTTGAACCTCGACAACCTGGGGCGGTTGAATTTGGGGCTCCTCCTGCCAGGGGGCTGGTTTCAGAGGCTCCGGCTGCCATGGGACATTTGTATCCTCGTTGTCGATCTCGTCATTATAGTCGTTTGGGGACCCTTGAGGGAGGGCACAGATTTGGGCCACGCAAAGGGCCAGCACTAGGAGCAACGGCTGCATGTTGCGCGTTGCGTCGCGTTTGAACGGGAACTGATTTCCGAATCGGATTCGACGGCCTGAAAAGCTCCGAGCACTATCTGCAACCCAGGCAGCCTTGGCGCCTTTCGAACTCAAAAAAAAATAAAACGCACTTAGAAAATATCAGGGGAATTACTTATATTTTTTATGTTGTTTTTATTCCTTTTTCTTAAAAAGCCATCTTAACAAAAGGTACATTTTGGTGGCCTTAAATAGTTTATGCTTCCTTATTATTTTTTTAATTAGAAATTTAACTAAATGTTCTTAGCTACATTAAAGTTTAAAATAACTTGAGTGAATACTGAAAATACGAATGATCTTTTTAGACCTATTGTCTTACTTATTTGAAAATCGATGTTTATAAAACTATTCAATCTAGAGGGCATTTATATTGTATCTTAAAATTAAGGATTTACTTATGTTTTACCCAACAATCCTTAAAAGATACAACAGAATTTAATTTGTTATATAAAGCTTACATTTTTTTTTTAATTTCTGGTAACTGGTTGCTAGTAGCCCATTGATTGCTAGACTTATATCCATTCCCTCTGATCTACTCTCCATCCTTGTGGTTTGAAAACTCCACAGAAGTGCTTGGAATTTTCAAATAATAAAAGCATAAGGAAACAATAAAAAAAAACGAAGAGGTCATTTTAATTTTTTCCTGAATCACCCTACCATTTTTTTCAGATCCGCCCTGGTTCTTTGTTCTGTAGCTTGGCTTGGCCCGACGGACCTTATCTCATCCGCCACAAACGATAGGAGCTTATCTCCTGGCCCAGCTTCTCTTGTTTTCGAAGCGTGTTTCGCCATTGCGTTATTGAAATGTTAAATTAAATACAATACATATTTGTACATGTCCATGGAACACAACTGTTATGAAACAATTTGTTAACAACTTTTGTTGATTTGTATACCATTGCAGAGGGTATTATGATCTCAGCCAGAAGGTAATAGAATGATCAGGATCAGTTAGAATTGTTGATCAGAAGCATATAGTGTATGTTCTTCGGTTTCTACGAAAACTATCATTTCAGTTTTTAAAGCTACATAGCAGGAAATTTTTCAAAAGTCGTTTATCTATGACAGGTAGTATATATACGGGCCGGATCGAATATCTACTAGTATATCTTAAAACTGAGAAAGGAACTTTTGGAAAAATAATTTAAATAAATTATCGAGATATATATACTTATAAGGATTTCATTTTTTTAAAAATTGAACTACGAAATTGTTAAAAGGAGACCCTCCGCATTTGAAAAATAGAAACAGTGGTATTTTTTTTTTTAAATTTCTTAGTGACTCTAATTTAATTCATTCATAGGGGTAAAAGATATTACATAAACAATTCTTAGCAATACACCAGGGAAACCCTCCGCATTGGCAAAGAAAAATACTTTTTTAAGGAAACATATAAAAAGATTTTAATTTTAATTAATTTGACTAGATCTTTAACTTTTAATTTATCTATGTAAGTTCAAGCTATATTCGTAACTATTTTCAATTGATGTAATGAAATCGGTAAATTGTAAAAAGCGGAACAAGAAATTTTCAAAATGTTGTTGTGTAAATTGGAAAAAAAACACATTTTTTAGCTTTAAATGCCAAATGTTACGAATTTTATTTTTGTAATTTTGTACATTCCAAAAATGTATAAGGTATTTTTATACCCTTCCAGAAGATATGATAAATTTACTGCGAGTTTAAGAACATGTGGGCAAGTAAGCGCATAACATTTTGTTTTATTAAAATCTTAAAGTCAATCAAGTTGGCGTTCACAAACAAAGTTTAATTGGGTGGCACAGCCGATATCGTTCATGGACCAGCTATTCGAGAACCCGACTTCAACACAATCTTCGTTGTTCCAATTATCAGGCTTTTGTCGCCAATTTAGAAAATTTTGTTTCAGACCGGTTGTGTCTGATATGTACTCGCCTTCAGTGGAAAAATCTTGGATATCTGTCCAGTATAAGACGCCACCTTTTTTTAATTCCTTACCAAGGGCATCCAACTCCGGCTGGCTCTGAGGACTGAATAGGTGACCACCCAAATCGAGACAGAATGCCCGAGAGTCACTCCAGCTCCTCTTCTCTGTGCTTTCTATGTGGTATGCTTTGGATCCAATTTTCTTAAAAGTCAGGGTTCTGACTGTTACGTCGATTTTCTTGATTGCTGCCTCCATTTCCACTTGTTTAGTAGTCAGATCCTCAAACTTTCGGAATCCATCAATCGTTTTTAGTTTTTCATTGAGTTCTACCTGAAGCAAATCAATCTTTTTTTGTTGCCCAGCGATCTGTGTATCCATACTATCAAATCTAGTTGATAGTTTGTTTATTTCCGCGGCTTTGTTTGCTCCATCAGCAGTCAGTTTATTATCTTGACTTTCCAGCTTTTCTTTTGTTATTTCTTCCAGGGACTTAAGATTTTCTTTTTGCAGTGTGAAATCGGTCTGTAATCTTTGAACCATTTCCGTAATTTTCGAGTTTTCTGATAAAACTTCTGCAGTCCGATTTTCTAACCGAATTCGTAGATTTTCATTGGAGTTTTGATTTATATCTGTAAACTCTTTCTTAAAGTTTTCGAACTCGATTGAAAAACCCTCTAATTTTTTGATTCGTTCATTCATAACAACCATATGTTCCAAGATCATTCTGACTGATTCGCAAATGTAGCTACTACAATCTTGAGCCTTAATTTCCTCACCCGGCTGTAAAGTAATTAGTTTAATATTTGATTATAACAATTAATAAAAATTAACTAACCAAACTTGTAGTCATTGATCTTTGCAAAAGCAGGCTAAATAGAAACCCTAAAAAAATGTGTTTCATTTTATAAGGAAAATGGTACTATACACGAGGAATGCTGGGGGAGAACTGGAAATCAACATATCGCTATAATACAAATGTATAAAGGAATATATTAAAATATATTACTGTGCACGACATTACTCAATAAAAGCTGACCATATAGCGAGAGAGGGCGAGATAACGCTTGTTTATATGTATTATTTTTATTTCCTTTCAGATCGGGTTATCTGTGTACAGTTTTCAAGGCATAAAAGCAAACATTTCCCACGATATATAGATTATATAGCCATTTCTGTTCGTCCGTTTCTACGCAAAACCAGTAGCTTAGCGTGGATGAAACTTTTTCCAAAGATTTCTTCGCTGTTGCAGGTAGCATATAAGTCGGGACGGGCTGGATCAATAATTTCATATATCTGCCATAGGAAGAGTATGAAAAAATATTCTAGAAAAGTCCAACTACTTTATAAATATGTGAACATATAAAATTATTATTTCAGAAATTCGGGTTTAATTTGTTAGATGCTGGAAAATTGACATAACTTCATTGTCTTAAAAATTACGCTTACATATTGATGAAGGGTCGTTTTAGAGAATTTTATATTATTTGTTATAGCTGCAAAGGCAGATAAACTTTAGCTTGGAATAAAAGCTGTCCATATAACGCTTGTTTATAAGTAGTGACTTAAAAATGTTGGCACTCTTTCCGTTCTCATACGCTCGTCATACATTTTTTAGTTTTTTTACCTTGCAGAGGGAAAAGTTTGCAACGTGGAAAAGGAAACACCATATATATATTACTTATTATTTTTTCACCTTCGTTTGACATTTGTTTTAATAAAAAATAAAGTCATAAAAGTTGACTTTCACAAACGAAGTTTATTCGGGAAGAACAGTCATTATCGTTCATGGACCACTTATTCGAGATTTCAACACAATCTTCGCCGTTCTTCCAATTATCTGGCTCTTGTCGCCAGTTTATAAATTTTGGTTTCTCTCCGGTTGTGTCTGATATGAACACGCCTTCCGTGGAAAAATCGTGGATATCTGTCCAGTATAAATTTTCATCCTTTTTTAATTTCTTACCAAGGGCATCCAACTCCGACTGGCTTTGAGGACTAACAAGGTGCCCACCCAAATCGAGACAGAATGCCCGAGAGTCATTCCAGCTCCGCTGCTCGGTCTCTTCTATATAATAAAATTTGGATCCAATTTTCTTAAATGCCAGATCCCTGACTGTCACGTTGATTTTCTGGATTGCTGCCTCCATTTCCACTCGTTTAGTAGTCAGATCTTCAAATTGGTCGGCCATTTCTCGTTCTTCTTCCCACAGTTTATTTAAATTTTCGAATTTGTAAGAACAATCCTCAAGTCTCTTTATTCTTTTATCCAGAACAACCAGTTCTTGTAAGATCATTCTGACTGATTCGCAAATGTAGCTACTACAATATTGGTATTCAATTTGCTCATTCGGCTGTTAAATAAATTTGTTAGTAATTGGTTCATAACAATCGAAGGATATTTAATTACCAAACTTGTAGCTGTGGATCTTTGCAAACCCAGGCTAAATAAAAATACTTCAAAAATGTACTGCATTTTATAAAGAAAGTTTCACCATCTACGAGAAATGCCAGAAAAGAACTGCACAGTGACTTTTACAGAAAACTCTGTTTTAGTTTTTGTTGTACACAAACCCTTATAATACTTATTATTAATATGTACACCCCAATATATAAAAAAATAATACAAGCCCCCGACAATAACGATTATAGTAGAAATCCCCTTTAGCACTTTAAAGGGTGAGATTACGTGCGTAAATAAGTATAAATAAATCGCAAAGTTTCAAAATAAAATATATACTGATGAATTAAAAGAAGCTTTTTTGTCTAATTAAACCTTAAATTAACTTTCAATAACTTTTAAATAAAAATAAGTTACAAAATAATTAAAACTAAATAAATCATTACGATTGAAACACATTGGAGAAGTTCATAATATAATATTCTCTATATTTTCATTTTTATTAATCATTTTCGATTCCATTCCATCCGTTTCAGTTTTTTTTGTTAAAGTTTCATTTTCAATTTCTTGTTTTTTTCGGCTTGTTCAGTATGTATCTATAATAATGTGTTATAATTAAGAATCGTCATTTCATCTAAATATTTCAGTTATAATAATACAATATAATAATCATTAATAATATGCGGTTTTCATCAATCGATTTCTCTTTTTCGCCATGTATGTTAAACTTGTGTGTGACTTGCTTCAGAATGTATTCCGATCCGTTTGGTTTGTGTGGAATTAATTGTGACTCGGACCGTATCTTTTGGGCTCGTGGCGTTTCTATCAGCTTGAGTTTGATTATTTCATGTCTGAGACCGACTATCTCCTATGACTCGCAGCTTACTGTACGTTCAAGTATGGAAATCAGAGTTCTAGGAAAGCTAAAAGCAAGTGTATGCATATATACTTGTGTCTATATATGTATATACGTGTTTATATATATTCTTTCTAGGTATTTTAATCTCGATTATGCTGTGGCGCTGTGGCAGTGGCCCAAAGGAAAGAAGCCTCTTAATTCAAATCCAAATTCAAACTCAAAAATAATGTGTCAAATTACGTATTTGTTTAGCAGCTTCCTTCAACTAACCCTCGTGGACTAAGAAAAAAATGCAGAAGTCCCTTCTAGGTGCACAATTGAACTTGGCTGATTGAGTCATTGATTGATATTGGGTTTGCCTACGTTTCGTGTTAGGAACTTCTCAACAAATTTACGACTGATTAAAATCATACGAATGAAACTCGCTTGAACTTCTCGATTTCGTTTGTCAAAAATCGTTTACCCAAAAATGCACATTAATTAATTTGTCACTGAATCAAAGTTATTCACTGATTTGTTTCTAGCTTTTGTTCTTCTTTGTTTCTTTTGTTTTTTTCTTGTATATTTTGTAGCTCAGTCTTTTTACTAACAATTTTTTGTTGTTCATGTTGTTGTTTTATATAGCTTCTTCATGCTGTAGATCTTCGTAATGCAGTGCCGGTCTGATTTATGATACCGCACATATTTCGCGTGAATAATTAAGTGTTGGTGTGTTAATTTCCGAATCGTTTGCTTTGAACCAAATCCAAAACTTGACGAATTCTTATTTGGAGTTATGTAGAGGAGGTTTCTATAGAGGGAATGGTAAGATAGGGAACCGTTTTGCCCGAACCGTTACCGATCCGAACTGCTCGGAAGGTTTGGGTTTATTTTTCGTTATACCATATCAGCAGAGTGGATCTATTTCGGGAGCGGGAATTCAATTCATACAGTTTAGTTCGCATTTAAGTTATTTCATTCAAATGGCTTGCTGTTAGCTCTATAGTTGCTTGGAAGTACCGTTTTGTGTCTAACTTTCGTAACTTATTTGGTTAAATATTTGTTTTTCGCTTTGGGGCTTTATTAAGTTTGTTACTCATTACGTTCTTGCGCTACATTTTCAACAATTTAAATTTATCCTTACGTATTTGTAACCGCTAAAGAATGGATAACATACTCATGGCTCGTATGCTTCGATAATTCCTAATCGTTAAGCATCTCTTGAGGATTGTGTGTGGGTCAATATGGGTGTGCGGAGAAAATCAAATGCTTCCGGTTCATTTCGTTTTTAGTTAAGGGATCTGATCTTGTTTTGCTTGAATGAAGGAATATTTATTTGGTTGGTGAAGTATTTACAAAGTTTCGCATAATAGTATTCATATAGGTAATGCATACGTTAGGCTTGTTGCGTTATAAAATCTTAACATAATTATATAAATTGAATTCATGAACTCGCTTAACTTTGCTTCATTTATGGCCTTCAAGTAAGTAAAATGCATCGATTACGTGTCACTGTGTGTTTGTATTTATTCTATATGCATAGAGAGCTGGCTACTTAGAAATTATAAAACCAAACGGAACCGGACATCGTACAGAGTTATTACGCTTACTCTAAATTCGCGCAGTAATCTGATTTCCATTATCTGTAATAGTTCGCTCGATTTCACAAAACATAATAATACAGTTCATAATAATCAAGTTTGTGGTAAATGCCTTAATCTAGTTAGTAGGTATTTATAATGTAATGCCTGCTCGTAATAATATCTATCATGTAATCGTTTATATATTTTTGTTTCATATATATTTATATTTATATTTATTTTATGTAAGAAGCACTTGAATATATATCGTTTTTAATGAAAAATGAAAACTTGGGTGTGTCATGTCATGGATTGTTTTCTTTTTTTAGTTTTTGGGTTCCTGCTTTCTGCTCTAATTTTTAAATTGTTTGTTGTTCGTTATAGTTTAATAAGTTGCTAATTAGCAAATATGAATGCGCCCGCTACAATCTGTAGGTAATAATTGTTTTCGTCTTATTCGGAGAAAGTTAAAAATCCTTTTTATTTAGCTTATAATTATCTTTAAAGTATTTTCAACGACGTCGTAGTGATCATCATTATCGTCAACCCCGATTTCTGCTCTTCTAAAAAAGTGTCTGAGTTGGCTTATCTCACAAATGTTTGCCTTTTGCTGAAAGTTTTAAGAAATTTATAGATTTTTTTGTTTTTTTTTGTTTTGCGTTTGACTCTGCCTTTTGTTATTGAGTGTTTTTAATAAAATACTTTGCTTAAATCAGTTATTTTTGTTTGTTTATTATTACATTTTTCTTCTTTTTTTTTGTTTTTTTCAATTTAAAAGCATTTCTAGAGAATCTCTCTTCTAAAGTATCTAATAAGTGTATGTATATGGGTCATCTATATTTATGTATAAGTATATATTCATGAATTCTCTGCTCTTGTTACTGTTTCTGCTGGTTTATGTCTGTAGGCATGATTTACTGTAAAACCTTTCAATTGCAGCCTGGCTTTCAATTACAATTAAATGTTAGATTTTGCCTTGTATATTGAATAATCGGTAATCGGCATTCAGTTTGCTTGTATATATGTAAATGGTAAAGTGTATAAAAGTTAATGATCTGATTCAGTTAATACTTGTATGCAATTGTATAAGTAGTTGATGTAGATCTAGAATTAGTTCAAAACTCTAGTGTATCCTAAGTTTTATTTATCTGCTGCTACTTTACGTGTCTGAATCTTTGTTTTTATTCTTTGCTTATACATTTGTAAGTGTTTGTATTGCTTTCAAAGTACTCGACACTGTATTCTAAACGAATAACATAAAAACAATCAATTTAAAAACTAAATAAACTGAAACAGAAATCATAGTATTACGTATTCCTTAAGAGCATTACATTAGTTTAAATTATAAGTATTTACAAATAAAACTATTTAAAAAAGCACAAACAACTTTAAAAACCAATTCATTAATCATTTGTGTCTTTGGCTGTCTAAATGTAATCGCATTTCCTTTACTTTGTTTTTTTCTTCAGATTTTGTTTTCCATTGTTGATTTTCCATCGGTTGTATACATTTTGTCAAAAAGTAAAATTGCATATAAAAAGCATTAAATTGCAGCTGCATAAAGTATTTATGAATCAATATATACGCTTACGTTTGTGTGGGTTTTTTTTTTTAAAACTACTGCTGTTATGTGTTTGTTGTTTATACATTTGCTTTGATTTAGATATTTCTACGCTTTTTTTACTCGTCTTGTAACGCAATTTCCAAGTTCGATCGGATGATTTTAATGTTTCTCATACAAAATATTGAATATCAATTAGCTTAGCCTATTTCTAATATACTCTATTACGAGAACAACATTAGCAATGCCCCTAGTGAAAATATTTTCAAAAGTTTTGTTCTGCCCTCCGGCTCAATCTATATTACAAACCCTATGTGGCTAGGCTAAAGTTTAGTTTTAATGCTTTCACTAAATTTTGATCGATCACTTCACATGAAATTTGTGTGTTCCTCTTCATGCATATATATATATTCGTATATATACAAAGATAGCGAGTTATGTCCTCAGTAAAGAACTATTCTGAATCAATGCAAACAATAACAACTAAACTCAAGGTGGGCACATACCCAATTATGGCACATATCGCACATACTGTTTTCTGTACAGATCGGTTGAATAATGCGTATAGTCCTGTACATAATTTACACTTTCCTATGGCAGACTGAAGCACAGGAGTCTGAAGAAGTACTATAGCTTGAGGCTCTGCAAATAAAATTGACAATGGAAAATGCACTCGATGGATTCGATTTCGATGGGAGCGCTGTATTGCGATTGGCAGTTCCAGTTCCAGTTCGGAATGAATCCCGAATGCAATCCCCTTATATTTCCCCGATTTCTGACGGCTTAAGACTAATTTGTTCGCCCTCCTACTATTTCGGTAATTCATTTCTTTTGTGTAAATCAGTAATAAGCGTTTCGTTTTGTTTTATCATCTTCCTTAACCATTTGTTAATGCCTTTTAAATTTCTTCTATTTTTAATTTCTCTGGGTTAAATGCAAAAAATCTTGTATATCGTGTATACTCTATTCGAATAAGGTTCGCTTAAATTACGTTACGTCTTGCTCATCATTATTATTAATATTTACAAATGTTGATTTTTCTCTAATGATAATTAACAATATCATTTTGCAGCTCTAGTTTAGCGTAGCCGTTTCTCTTGAACTGTGTGTCTATATAATCAATTATATAGTATATATAGAGTCATATATACGTATGTTATGTTATGCTTGTGTATACTTAGCAGATCTGGGAATATGTATAAAGGCTATATAACTATAAATTTCGTGTATAACTTCTCTGGCTTTTTGTGTGTAAGTAAATCCCCATCCAGTTCCTATCGCTAATTAATGATTTTTTCGATTGCTACTTGTATGTTAAGGGAAGGAGGATGATTGGGAAAAGGATGTGTAATATGCCCTAGTCATAAGCCACTTTTTAATTTTCATCGCCACTTTTGGAACTGAGTACTTTTGTGCACATATTAAGGTAGTAAGTAGTAAACTTCTCCAAAGCTGCTAACTGTTGTCAGGGAAATTGAATTTTTAAATATTCTAAATCAAGAAGTTGTGTTTATAAAAAAGATTTGGCGTATGTTGACGTATTTAAAATTTGTAACTTGCCTATCTAACTTTCTTTCAAAACAAGTGTTTAATATTTACGTGCCCAAAAAATGTTTAAATGAAAGTATTGATAAAATTCTCATGAAAAATTATGATGTTAAAATATGGTAAAATTTCTTTGGAAGAAATCGCGCCAAAGAAAGTTAAAGGTAGCTTTAAGTCAATTACTATTTACTTCCCTAACAGTAATAAATCATTATCCCTAAATAAGCCCAATATGATTTCACATTTTTTTCGTTTCCTTTTCGGATTATAGGTGTTTCCGAAAAAAGTGAAATTGGATGCAGTACGGCTTAAATGGAAGTCTTTCTGGTATCTCATGTGTGGCTCGTCTGCTAGTACATCTCGTTCTCATCCCAGTCGACCGACTGGAGGACCAACTTGTCCAGCTCCTTGGAGTCGCCGGAACTGCTGTTGCGCCTGCGCCGCCGCCTCTGCAGGTGCGCCCACTTCCGGTTCAGCTGGGTGGCCATTTGTGGGGCAGCAAACATGGCCGCTGCTGCGGCGCTCAGCTTGGTGGGCGTAATGGCGCTGCTGCCGCGGTTGGTGGAGCTGCCCGAGGCCGTGGGCGTGGCCCCGCCTCCGGCAGGACTCATGCTGAACAGCTCACGGTTGCCAAAGCGAAATCGACGGGGCGGCGGCGGTGGTGGCGAAACGAGCAGGTGAGGCGTGTCGTAGGGCGGCGGCGGTGTGATCATGGCCAGCGATGAGGTGTCCTCCTGGTCCTGGTCCTGCTCCTCATCGTCCTCATCGTCGAAGTGGAACGTGGCGTAGGAGTGGCGTTCGTAGAGCTCGTAGGAGGGCGTCTCCGCCAGCGGCGATTGTGGTTGAACCGGAGTCACCGGCATTGACTTGGCGTATATCCGGCCGATCATCGGACTTCTGGTGCATGGCTGGGCTGGGGGCGTGGTCGGTATGGGGGGCGGGTGCGTGTGTGGGTGTGGCTGTGGCTGGGTGTGCGACTGGGGGTGCGGCGTGGACTGGGCCTGGATGAGTGGCATCGATTTGGTGTTGCATATCAATCAATCACGGTAGATGTAGCTGCAGTTCTTGGGGCTCTCCTGCGGACTGGGACTGCTGGATGGCGGAGCCGGACTGCTGCTGCTGTTGGACATTACGGGCGAGGAGCCGGAACTGGAGTGCGGCTGCTGGGACTGCTGCTGCTGTTGCTGCTGCTGCTGGGGACTATTCGAACGGTGTTGAGTTACTGCAAGAGCCGGAAAACAATGGAATTAGTGGCGAACATCGAAAGGGGCATGGGTGCGCTTGGGTGCATGTTGCATCGATATCGATGCTTGGGATAAGACACATATGAAGGCTATGGAATGCATATTTCGAGACAACATTGAATCTGTTGCAACATGCACATACACACTCGCACACACAGACAGAAACTACTGGTACACGTATCAAATTAATATCAATTATGGAAGGGAAAATATAGCACATAAAATATGAAATAACATGTAGTTTTGGTTTCAGAAAAAGTCCAAACAAAAGAATGCAATTTCAGAGAGAGACAGAGAGAGTTCACAAGTAGATAGTTTCAAGAACTGTCCAACCCATTCGGGTCTCAAATCAGAAATCAGAGATCAGAGATCATAAGGGGTAGAGTGGTAGAGTAGGTGTAAGAAAAGGCCTGGCGACAGATAGTACATTTAGATGTGGTGTCTGTTTTGGTGTCTCCACGGCTGTGTCTCGTGGGTCTCTGTTGGCCAGTTAAGTGGTAACTCTAACTTAATGCAACACAGGTTTTTAGACTTACCAATGCCATGACGGGGCGGCTGTCTTCTTGCGCGACCAAGACTTCTGTTACGTGTGTTTGTGTTGTTTACAGCCTATGGGGTTGGAGTGTTTTATCAATTTCTCATCTTTTATATTCAAGATAATTTTTGGAAAAGTTACATATGTCAATGTTGAAGGAAATAAAACACAAGAAAGTATAACGCTAATTTGCTTGAATCTAGGGATAAACGTTCGCAATCAATTTTTGCTCTCAAATGTTGCAAGGCCAAGCCAATTTTAAGTTTATTTTTTGATTAAGTGTGTGGTTCTATGAACTGGTTACAATTTAATTTTGGTCGTTTTTGTTTTTTTTTTCTTTGGTGTTAATGCAATATCTTTCAAATACTTTCTGGTCTGAAATTTTTAGTGGGCAAGCAATAAACGAAAAAATATTTGTAGCATATACCATATAGAAACGAAATTAAAAGAAGTACATGTATCATGGTGGGGTAGTAGTTTAATTATTACCGGGATATATCATATTTGTTTCTTAAATATCAAATGTAGTTTAGGATGCGCAGACACACACACACACACTTTTATGGATGTCCTTGGAGGATTTTGGTGTAAGTGGCTTATTGGTTTGACAGTTTGGGACCCATGCAGAAGATTTCAAGCGGTTCATGTGGGTTCAGGCTTGGGGGGAATATGGTATTGGTATTGGGTAAATCGGATGGCGCCATATCCAACCGAAAAACACACACACATTCAGGCACGCAGAGGTCAAACAAAGGTTGAAGGAAGCGCTGGCATTGGCGATTTGCGAAGCGAGTTGGGCGCGGGATGGCTGACTGGGCTGGACTGGCCTGATTGACCGATTCAACGATTGATTAATTGATTGATTGATCGACATCCTTTTTGGCATTCGAAAGTGTGTAGTGTTGAACCAAAAGTAACGGTGAGTGAAGAGAGAAGGAGATAGCAAACAACAAAGCTTCTGCAACAGTGCCTAAATTCTATCAAAAAACGTAAACTAAATTTGCAGTGGTGCTCCAAATTTCAAATATAAATTACAGAAAGAGCTCGAAATCGGGGAGATTTGGAAAATTACTTTTTGCCTATTGAATTTCGGTTCAGCTCGATGCGAAGAGAGCTTCCGTATTGCAGCTTTTGAGCAAAATATTGTCCAGATTAATAAATGTAGCAAACGAAAGCCCACCAAAAATAATCGTAACCAATAAGGGATAGTAACAAATAAAAATAAACTAAAGTAAGGTGAAATAAATAAACTAAAATGGGTTAAGTTATAAATAAGTATTTACCATATTTTGGGTAATTAGTCCCTGACTGGTTTCAGCCGCCCCACTCCCGTCTCAAAGGTAAACCTAATGTAAAAAGGGGAAGAAGAATAGAGAAAAGATAGAGATAGATTTTTGTTTGTTTCGGTATTTGTGTGTTGTTCATGTTATGCAAAAGTTAGTATCGATAGAAAGCGTTTATCTTTGAGCTGAAGAAGAGTGAGTTGTAAGAATTTAACTGTACAAAATGCTTAGACAGAGTTAGGGGTATAAAAAGAGGCCTGCAAAGATCCAATCCCACTATATCAACGAACGATTGGTGTATTTCCAGCCTTAAGACAGAACCCAAAAATGATATGCTTAATGGAATGGGGTGATTTAAAAATGGTGTCTTAACATGCGCTTGATCATGATTGATGAGGATGGTTTAGATTAAGAAAGATTTGAAGACATATTAGTGGTAACCTAGCCAGCAGGATACAAGTTTATTTTTATTTTACAGAAAATTTAATATTAAACGTACAAGGGTTTTTAAACGACAGTTTTTATATATTGAACTCCCGCGAGAAATGTGATTCTCTCCAGTATTATTATATAAAAGTAAACAAAATGGTTTAAAAATATAAAAGGAAAAAAAAATAAACATGCAATGGGTATTGAAATAATAACAATAATATCACAACAACATTTACTACAACAATAAGAACAATATGTATGGGTTATGGTTATGATATATGATAGATATGCGACTAGGTGCTATATACTTTAACACACACATAGAAGGAGTGATGGCAAGGCACTCGCACACACTCGTACACAGAAACACACAGATAGAAAAGGTGAGGCTAAGAAATACACCAATCGACGATTGTGTGAGGAGAGTTCAATCAAATACAAGCGCATCACGAGGACTCTCGATGGGCGAGCAAGTTAGTTAACTAATGTCAATAAATGTCGAACAACATCGAAAAGAGCGCAATGGTTACGGTTAGAGATTAGTAGTAGTACGATACGATAGTCGGAAAATAAAAATAGATCGATCTGCACTCCCAGATCGCTAAAAATGTCGGATCAACTCACCTTCTTGACGCTGCGGGTGGTGGAAAAGCCATCGCCGCGCCTGTAGTTATCGCCCTGTGGATGGCAAAATATTGCATTAGTCGGCTGGAAAATTAAGCAGGACTCAGGTCCACTCACCATCACTTGGTGGGAACGCAGTGTTCCAAAGTTGTCGCGACCGCGATAGGATTGCTGGGTGTTATAACCATCGGGCTGGAACTGGAAGAGCGTCTCCGAGTTGGGACCCTGGTGCATCTGGTGCATCGGCGGCTTGCGGAGCGTATTCTTCGGCGAGTGCATCTTATTTGGCGGCGGCGGCTGGGGCAGGAGCACCGGTTCCGCGTACGTCACCTCCTCCACCTGGGGCAGCAGCTTGGGCTCCTGCTGGATGCGGCAGGACGAGGGGAAACTGTGGGTGAAAGCAAGACTATCAGTAATACACATTTCTTGTTTTAAAAACAGTCATTATTATTTAGGTATCTCCTGTCACTCTTTATTTATGTTTGGAAAAGGCTCCCCTTAAAAAACAAATAAAATTACCTTGAAAAATTCATAAAAAGTAAATAATGGATATGGGTGCTTCTGTATTTTGCGATTTTTTAGCAAGAAAAGGTTGTGGTTACTCCTAAAACTGTCGAGATTTCAATTATCATGCAGAAGGACATGACTAAATCAAATTAATCTATTGATGCTAGTCATGAATATGTATTTTATATATGATCCAAAAAACTACTATTTTTTTTACTCTACGAGTACCCGGTACTTTATATAAAATACTTGGAAAAGAAAAGGTATGAATGTAGTTATGACAAAATACTTTGAAATATAGCAAAATATGTATTCATATTTAAACAATATTAATTTATTGAACTGTTTAAAATTTTTCCAAATATTTTAAAGAAACGAGTACTCACCTATTGACATTTTGCCTCTGCTCAAAATACTCGTACTCTGTATCGGGATATGGCAGATTGTCGTCCTCGTCCTTGTGGCAACGTCGACCGCAGAAGTATCCTGTGAAGAACCCGACCAGCAGCGAGAAGATCGAGCCGGCCAGGACGGCCATTACCAGGGTCTCCACCGTGTACTGGGCGTTGATTATATCTGCAGAGATTTGGGGACCTTCGGTTAGTGCATGATCGTGCAATGAATTTAGTTCGTTTCGCATCGATACAATGTGCATTAGGCAAAACATTCAACAAACATTTCAATTCACAACAAATATGTAACGAATTCGGTTTGTTTGTTGTGTTGGGTTTCAGGTGGGTCGGTTTTGGTTTCAGTGTGGGGTTTTGTGGAGGTTGGTCCATTATTGCAACGACATCAATAAACATCCAAACATCGAATTAAGAACGCATGGTATAAGGTAATTGCACGGTATTTGTTCAGAAATCATAAAAAAAGAAACAAGAAAAATATGAATAAGAACAGTTAGTATAATTGTACAAGAACGAGGATAAAAATTTAAATGGATCTTTCCAAGATTAGTTAAAACAAGAAAGGAAAGCTAACTTCGGGCGGAGCCGAAGTTGATATACCCTTGCAGAATACTCTGTAAATTATATTCTCCAAAATTATTCCTATGATGCATTCTTAATACTCATAAAAAATCCAAACTTCCTAACTTTAAAAACACCAAAGGTATGGCATTTCCTATCATTCAGTTATATGGCAGCTATAGGATATAGTCGGCCGATCCTTATGAAATTTGGTAGGTCGGATTGATTGGCCAAATATAAAACCCATAGAAAATCCCAACTTTCTAACTTTACAAACACCAAAGTTATGGCATTTCCGATCAATCAGTTATATGGCAGCTATAGGATATAGTCGGCCGATCCCGGCCGTTCCGACTTATATACTGCGTGCAAAGGAAAGAAGGGTGTGTGCAAAGTTTCAATTCGATAGCTTTAAAACTGAGAGACTAGTTTGCGTAGAAACAGACAGACGGACAGACGGACAGACAGACGGACAGACGGACAGACGGACATGGCTATATCAACTCAGGAGGTGATCCTGATCAAGAATATATATACTTTATAGGGTCGGAGATGCCTCCTTCACTGCGTTGCACACTTTTGACCAAAATTATAATACCCTCTGCAAGGGTATAAATATGATTTAAATGTGAACATTTAAAAATACAAAATAAAAATATTGGTAAATAGGTTACGAAATATTTAAAGAAGCAGGCACAGTTATTAATAATACATATGACAGTAAATAAGTTTAGTTTGGAACAGCTTAATTAATTTTACTTAATATATAATTATGTAGGTAGAAGAAGAAAATTTCATTAGGATTGATATAATATTAACAACATAAAATAGACATTATCAGGGGTGCACAGAAATCATTTTTAACCAAAAATGGATATCCATTTATTTGGAAAAGATTTCTAAAGCACTCCCCATGATTTAATAATATTAAGTTCATCACCACTTTGTATGTGAGTTTTAATTAATTAAACAACCAGCATGATATTAGTTTCGTTGAAAATAAGAAGAAAGGAAGCTAGTTTATGGAAGCAAAAGCTTAATAAACTCAGCATGGGTCTAAAAACAATCATATTTATCAGGTGGGACATACTGTTTTACCGAGTACCGGGGTTAAAAATAAATTGAAGCACATAAAAAAGAAAGCCACTTTAAATAAAATGCAAGGCAGCTGCTATGAAGGGAGTTGAATGGCATAAAGTGGCAAGAAGCCAGCAGTCGGAGTCCAGGGAATCCCGACAAAATGAAAATGTGATTTGCAAGGTAGACAACACTGAAACACAGAGAGTAAGCAAAGGTCGAAGGTTGTGATGGGGTCGGAAAATGGGGTGGGGTGGGTAAAGTGACAAGCAAGTACGTGCATAATACAAAACGAACGAATGCAAAATAAATATGATGAAAAATATGCAGGAAAAGCGTTTAGGTAAATCACCTTCAAAGTTCTTATCAATATTGTCGATGATTTCCTGATCCTTGCTCTGGCGCCGCGAATCCAATAAGTCCATGTCGTTGCGGAAGCCCTTCTGCTCCCCTGCGTTGGCATCCTTCGAATTGATTTTGCCTGCAGGAACAGTATGGCGTTAATATCGGCTCCATTGGCCAGTGGGGCAACTTTGGCACTCACCTGAGGGGCATGCCGCATGCTGGCCAGTGGCCACGTTCTGGTAGAAGTAGTTCTCCTCCAGCCATCGGGGAGCGCCGTGGGAACGGCACTTGCCAGCAATTTTGTCCCAGGCGCAGTACGGATCCTGCAATGCGACGCACTCACTGCGAACATACATAAATTTGTGAATAAATACATGCACTCGGAAAAAACCAACAAAATTGTTTAATATTTCAACAACTAAATGGCGTAGCATTCGAGGAAACTCAAAAAATTAAATTACAATGCTGATCCCTCTGACTTTTTGGCATTGCTTAATTTGTATTAATGATACCAACTAAAGTTGTATATCAGGTCAAAAACAAGAGAGAACGCTATAGTCGGGTGCCCCGACTATCAGATACCCGTTACTCAGGTAAAGGGAGTGCGAGGGAGATGGAGATAGAAACTTTGATCACGCATAACTTTTTAACGAATGGTCCGATTTGAAAAATTTCTTCTACATTTCGATAGGTATTGATAAACACAATAAAACTGCATTTTTACTTTTCCGAAATATTTAAATTTTTAAAATCGTATATAAGCGATTGTGGGCGTTAAAGGGGGCGTGGCACCATTTTGAAACAAACTTGCGCTGCGTAGGAACTTCTAAAATCTACATGCAAAATGCCAATCTTCTAGCTTTTATAGTTTCCGAGATCTCAGCGTTCATACGGACAGACAGACAGACGGACAGACAGACGGACAGACGGACAGACGGACAGACGGACATGGCTAGATCGACTCGGCTAGTGATCCTGATCAAGAATATATATACTTTATAGGGTCGGAAACGCTTCCTTCTAGCTGTTACATACTTTTGCACGAATACAATATACCCTTTTACTCTACGAGTAACGGGTATAATGATATTACAGGTTTCATTGAACAATAATTAAGTAAATCAAAGGACTTTTTAATATTGTTTGCAATTGATCTTTTTCTTTTCTACAGTTTATCCCTTTATAAGCATATCTATTTTGGGGTATCGGACACTGCCAAATTTTCGCTGATTGAAGAAATTTGAAAATTTTAAAAGTCAAGTGTAAGCCCCACGAATATACTGCATATTGAGGCTGTCAAGTGTCTGACAAGCGACACGAGAGTCACGCAAATTGTTACATGATAATAAAAATGCCATTGTCTGGAGCAGGTAGATAAAGGGGAGGGGCGGGACGATGACACTCACCTGCAGCTGGTGATTTTGTCATTGTGACAACGATGCAATTGTATGGCTACCACCTGGCTGTCCGTCACAATGATTAATTTGCCATCGTCGTAGCTGCCATCTTTTGGTTGATCTGCGGATCGAACAAGGCTTAAGTGCATTCGTTTATATGAAGTTTTGTAAAAGTTTCACTCACCATAGTGCATAGTTCGAACTATTTCCAGATTGCGAATGGGTTCACTCTTGGTCAGGACATCAATCTCCTCGATGACAACAGAAGTGACCTTCTCCGCGGAATCTGCCGATTCGGCATTTACTGACTTGATAATCTTGCCGTGATCTGTTTGGGGTTTAAATTAAAAGTATTATTATAAACTTTTTAAAATAACAGAAAGCAACTACTAACCTGTGCCAACAAAAATAACATCATATGTCTTGCCGCCTGGAGTTTTGATCTGTGCATCGACAGCGATTTGAGTGAAGCGATATCTGTGAAAGAGCACGGATAATTAATAAGACATGTTAAAAGAAAGAACATTTTGGTCCATATTTTATCTGCTTCTTAATTACTTTTCCTATTCGAATTCATTTTGATGTAATTCTTCTTTTACCAACGACTCTGGTGGTGAGCATCTAAATGAAGGACAGAATGTCAATGATTGTTTTCTTTATTTTGCGACATTGTGTTCGCCAGTTTTCCTGACAATGGACGAACGTCTGTCATTTCGGTTAGATGTCCATTAATAATGGAAGGACGCCAAAATGGTCGCCACTGTCAGGATGTGAGGGGAAAGGATGTGGCTGGCAGGCTACTGGTTAGTGGTGGACTCCGACAAACAACTACCACTGCAACATGACTGCCAACATAAGATACATACGGCAACGACTGCTGCAACAGCAACAAACAGTTTGTGTTTTTATGGAAAAAACATATTCCGAACAACAACACAAGTAGATGAAATAAAAACGAAAATTTCCCTCTGATTTCACCGCAAAAACGACGCCCGTCTACGCCCATCCCCGCGTTGTTGCAACATTTGTGGCCTGGTCCACGTCCATTGTTGCTGTCATGCCTTCTGCCTCGATTTAAATGCAAATGCCTAACAGCAGAAATGGTAGCTTCCAAATACGAGCTGAGAGCTGGGCGCACTCCATGTCCCATTGCTCTGCTTTTTTATTGTTAATTAACTAATCTTGTTTTTGGGACTCCGGTCCTGTACAGAGCAACAATTTCCAAATTGCTCAACATTTCTGCGAATAATTTATTAAATAAAGTTTTAATTTCAGACCAGTTAAGGATGGAATTTGAAAGGTTTTTGAAGGGAAATAGTTGAATGGCATGTAGTTTAACCTTTTAAATAGAAATGTAAAAAATGTTCACAACAAATAAATGCTTAGTTAAAGTCTTTAACAGGAAATTGGATTTGAGAAAATTGGAAATGAAGTTTTATAATATTTTTACCAACTAGAACATTTATTTATGATAATAAGTAAGTGGGACTTGTTTTCCAAATTAGGATTAAAAGATTTGATTTTTGCATAAGCTAAACAAATATGTATGCAGGAAAAGGCAGAAAGTTTAAATAGGACCGAGGAACACGACCTACGGGTCAAAGTCCAAAGTCCTGGCAATTGAAACTTGCAAAAATGTTGCCAACTTTTGTATCGCTCCGATGAGTTCAGAGGGCGACGATGACAGCAAAGTCGACAGACAAATGGGAAGAATAAGGAGGGAAGTTAGTCGTTATTTGCCCACCTCTTGCAGTCCAAGTCCCGGTCACCACCCCAAACAGACTGGGAGTAAAGGCGATAAGAACACGTTAAGGACAATGCGATACCTTGGGACAGGAAGATGCAGACGGGATATGGTCAGCCAGCTGGCAGAAATCGGTTGAATATGGGATGCTTCCGGTCTGCGTCAGGAAACAATTTGTAACGGAGCCCAAGCTGCCAACTGGCTGGTACATTCAACTTTTGCCGAGATTCTACGAGAGTACGGCATTCAACTTGCGGCAAACTTTAACCACTGGCCCGGCCCACTATGCAAATCATCTGCTTCTTTCCGAGATTTATTTAAGCCCCGCCTCCACAGGCAGCTGGCACTCGAGGAGCGGAAATGGCCAGGCCAAAGGACTCGGAGCCCAAAACGAAATTATTATAAATTTATGTTTCGCCCAAATGCCATAAATTCCGAAGAATTTTTGATTTGATTTTGTCATTTGCGTTCAATAAATCCCCCCACATTATCCAGACTACGCCCTCTTTTTGCGGTATGTTGTTGTCGTTTCGACTCGAGAATAATTTATGCATGTTCTTCGATTCCAAATCAAAAATATGATAAATGCTTTTCCCAAACCAAACTGTCTTGACATTAGCTTGACCTAGCCGCTAAGCTGTTAAAGTTGTGACAAAAGCGAAATAGAAATAATAATTTCTAGCTAACTTTATCTTCATTTGAACTTGTATTTTTTAAACATGTTTTTTTGTAATTTGTCAAATGTCTAAGAACACTTTTTAAGTATGCCTATGAAATTAATTTAACTATCTCTATAATTGCCTGGTTTTCTCCACTTTCGAAATACATCTACTGCATGTGAAATTCATAACTTGAAAGAATCTGTGTTTGCTCACATCCTTGGCGGTGATTAAGTATTGACGCGTCCTTAATTACGCGGCCACGCTTATGACCCAGTTAATAAATTGATTAATGGACTGACGATGACTGTTAATCGTGATTTCAAATATAAAATCTGAATTTCAGGCAGTGGGATTTAAATCAAGAGAAAGTCATAAAGCTGACGGGCTGCCATATAAGAATAGCCGAGCGAAAATAATGCTAAAGTAACTTTTGCGCATTTTTATGGGTTTCAATTGAGTCTCCCGGGGTCTTGATTAAATTCCGATGCACGCCCGCGTCCTCGGGCGGAGCATCCGTTGCTCCAGTCCCAAAAATGCAATGAGTCAGTTGCAGAAAGTGGCCGCCCCACTTTACCCACTCCACACATTTGTTGTGGTGTGCTCATGTGGCGCACAAAATGTTCAGGGGTGCGGATGTGGAAGGGATGCGGATGGGGATGCGGATACGGATGCGGATGCGGAGGAGCGGCAGGAGCAGGTCCGCAGACTGCGTTGTTGCTACGTGTTCCATATTTCATTCTAATTTATTCAGTTGTGCATACATATTTTCGTTACGGGTTGCCTCCCCAGCGCATCCATGCATTTCCTTCTGGCTGGCTCGCTTCGTTTGCTTCAAACTATCGCAAAGGCAAAGGCAACTGCAGCTGCCCCACCACCTGTGCCACCACACAGTCCCACAGTGGTTCTTGCAGCTGCCAAAAATCATTTCGACAATGAGCTTTTGCACTCAATAGAGAAATTCTCATTTTTGGCTTAACACACCTTATGTAAGATACACTGTTTTGCCACAAAAATGTGTTTCAAGAAACCAAATTTGATGTAGAACGACTTTAGTTTGTCTATCTTTTTGTTAATCTGTAAAATTCATAAAAATGTTTTTTATACTAGTTTGTAAGAATTTTAAGAGTTTAATTACAATTTTTATAACCTCTAATTCCTGATAATGAGTTTTTTAATTAAATATAACAGCGTTTTTAACGACAAAAATGTCAAAATTAACGCAGAACCACTTAAGCTTGTTTGTCTACCTTATTATTGATATTTAATTTACAATGATTATACAGATGCATATAATATTATATATTTATTTTGTTTCTATTTTAAGTCCCCTGTGTGAGTAATGCGAATTTATAATGTAAACGCGTGTGCCAATAGTTGTTTATAATACCAAAATCATATTTAATTTCGTTATCTTTTATGTCTTTTTCATGACTAATACCGTGAGTATTGGAGTTCCCCTTGACCCACTGTGCACCACTAACCTCTCTGGCGAAAGTGGTGCTCAGTGGCTCGCCTATGATTTAGCCCTCTTTAAAGTTTCACCGCTTTGCCAGCACACATCTCGGCGCATTTCGCCATAATTGTGGCTCAATTACATGGAAAAGTTACCAAATTGAATTTTTAAATTCTCCCTCCGGCCACAGTGGCCCTCTTTCGCTGGCAAATAATTTATGGCAACAACCCACCGGTTTTCTTTCCGTTAGCAGTTCAGGTTGCTTCGGTTTTACGGTTATTTGCGCTGACTAACACCTTATCGAATTTCCATAAGCTGAAACAGATGCTGCAACATGGAGGAAATGAACCCATATGATGGCAAATCTATGGCGGGATTAATTTTTCTCTTGAAATATAGTAAGTTTCAGTATGTGATGACAGTCCCAACTGTAGAAATCGTAAATTCAGCAATGGTTTAAAGTTTCATAAAAGGAACATTAGTACCATTGTCCATACATCCCATTTATTTTTGGTTTTAAAGCCATTTGCAACCACTAAACCAGTCGAAGTTGTCCACTTGGTTGACTGTGGATTTATTTACTGCTCACAATTCTGTCATATCTTCCTCACCGGAAACGGAAGTGACGAAGCAACGAAATAAGGACCATGTGCATATGTGGGAATGCAGTTACTCACATTGTGCTCGTCCGGACCAAAATCGGTTGACTGAAAAATGCCGGCACATTCTCGTCCATTAGCGAATGTGTTTTGATGAAGTTCAAAGTGGGATCCGGAAGCACTCTCGAATTGTTGTGACAGGAACCGGGACGAGGGTCGGGAACCTGAAAAGGACAAGAATCCAAAGGTAAATAACATATTTTTAACAATAATCGAAGAATACAAGTTTCTAGAGTACGTTTAGTGTTATTATTATTGCAATGAAACTATTAAACTATTGATTTGGTATTTAGGTGAACACATTTGCAGTAAATAAAGATTTGTATTTTCTAAGATTTTCTAAGCATTTAGAAACCTTTTTGAAGTCCCAAAACCTTCTGGCAAATGAAGGCAAAAACCAAATCAATGGCGACATGTGCAGTCATCTGCTGGAAATTGGCAAAAGCATCTCGAAGATGCAAATGCAAATTTTGTGCCAAACGAAAAATACATTTTTATGGCACGCCGGCCATAAGTCATAAATTTCCCAGGCAACAGATGTGCTGGAGTGCGGTCGCAAGAATTTTGGGGATTGAATTTGAACGCTTAAGGACAGGACTCACCTTGGCATTGTTTACAGGCAGCCAGTTGGAGTTGATTCCGGTCTGCTCCTTGAACTGGCCCTCAAACGTATCGGCTATGTCCTGTGGACGACGGGTAAAGGAGGGGACGAAATTTAATTTTCCATTTCAAGAAACAATTCGGGGGCATCCAACTCACCTGCAGGGCGAAGGCACAAACCGCAGAGCCGGGAATCGAGTTGCTCGGCGTGTTGAAGACTCCGTAGATCAGCTTCGAGCTCATCGAGCCGTACTGTCCATCCACCAGATTGCTGGCCGATTCTGAGTGTGACAAATTAATTAAATATGTATTGTTATTTTGTTGAAAATAAATTAAACACGATTGATGGCTTCATTAAATTTTTTTCCTCAAATACAATTTTTTATTTTGAGTACTGTTTTTAATTAAATTAAATTGAAATTTTTTGCTTTTAGAGAAATTATGACCGCTGTGCTGGGGTAATTTAGTTTAAATAACACGAAATTGAATGCAGGTCAATAGTTGTATATTTTTTTAGTAAACTAACTAAAATAACAGGTTATAATTTATAATAATTAAAAACAGATGTGTAGAAAACCATTCACAATGCAGATTCACAGCTTTAAAAATAGGAAACTTACGGATTTCATTAAAGTAGAACGGATAGTCGCCCGGAATGGAGCAGTTGAGGCGGGACTTGAGGAAGGATGTCCAGCGGTTGCGGAATCGATGCGGGCCACCTTTGTCCCATTTGCAGACGCGGGCAACGCGCGAATAAATCGCCTGAAAAGAGGATGGAAGGATAAGATATTAATTCTGCTCAGCTTGGGGCCAGCAATTGTCTAGATATCGGGGACCAACAAATGCGACAATCTGCGGAGCATAAATAAACCGATGGAAAATGCCGAACATCAGCAGTTATTTTGTCCGACTTTGTTTGTATTTTTGTTGCGTTTGATTGCATTTGTTGTTGCTCCCCAAATTGATTGGAAAACTCTTCTCGTATATGTGTGTGTACTCACCTTGCCGCAGTTGATGAACTCAACGGCGGTTTCCCGAAAGAAGAAATAGACAAAGTCTCCCTGCGTAAATGAGCTTACAAAGTTCGGTGCTGCAAAACAAAAAATGGGAAAAAAGTTTGGTCATCAAATTCATTTATAGTTTTCGTGATTGTAAACATTTTTATGGCTGTCAGTTTTCAAATATTGTCAATTTTCATGAATTTATGATGTACGCGTGTGCGTATTTGCGAGTATTATATGACTTTAGCGGAAATATTAATTTTATGGTTTCATTTATATGTATTAGGGTATAACGAATGTGCATGTACTATCTTTTGCGTTTAATGTTTAAATTAAAATTTAGTAGGCAGTCTCCTTTAGGATGACAAACCGTCCATAAGGATAAGAAGGTATAGGATGTTACAATTGTGTACGATTCAAGGTTCTACTACTTTTAAACCAAAATATTTCAAAAGACTCGTAAATGTTACATGTTTAAGATAAAAGAAAAACTTGCCGTTCTATAAAGTCATAGAACTTAATCGTTAATGGTTTTGGTTTCAAATAAGTAGTTTAATTCAGTTTCTGTTTTAATGGCTCGATAGAATCGACTTTATTGCAGACCCCAACGAAACCTCCCAAGTCATAGTTTCCAATAAAGGCCCTATGGGCTTTTTATTATAAATTATGAAGTCTGTCGCACATCTTCAGTGGTAAATGACAGTCGAACGTGCCATGTCCGTTCGGATTCAGATTCAGTTAATGGAAGCTGCACATGGCCAAGGTCCTTGAAATATGCAAAAGGCAATCGCGCGCCATCGCTAACTGACATTCGACAGGACACCGACAATCATGGGAGGTGGATGGTGATGGGAATGGTGATGGGGATGGGTAGCTGGGGACCCAGGACTCGCACTGCGCTTATAAAAAGAAAAGCGCCATCCTGACAGGGTCCATGACATTTTCAATTACCACAAGTGGCTACAATCGCACCCAGTAACTTACCGTTGAGACTCAGGCTATCGTACTGCTCGGTCTGCAGGGGCTCCCGGTAGATAATCGGATCGCTACCGCTGAAATCCGCCACGGTCCCGGAATACAGTTCGTTGTCTGTAAAAAATAAAAATAAACAAGTTTAATGGTTTAGTACATATTAAAGCCATAAGTCTTACTAAATAATAGCTAAATATTTAAAGGACTTATGCTAAAACACACTTTGAGCTGGCTATTTTCAACAATGAAAGAGCACACATAAATGACAATTACGTGTAATTCTATTATATTCCATTTTCTTCACAAATTTTCACAAGTGCCTTAAATATGCATTAAAGAAAATACATCTGGAGTAATATAAAGTATTTATCAATTGCTTTTCTTTGGGCTAAAGTCAGTACACATACGTCCTGTTGGCGGACTAAATGTTAGCGACAAATTCCATTAAGCTAAACGACAACATTGAGGGGAAAAAGTTTGACATGTCTTCTTAGATGGCATTGAATTCGCCTTCGGCCACGTTGAGAAGAATAATGAGATTTTCTTGTTTTTATTTTGTTGTTTTTGATTTCTGTTTGTGCAGCGAATTGGCTCGCGCTTGTCAGAGGCTTTGGCTTTGGCTTTGTCCTCGCCGAGCTTCGGAGGCAATACAATAAAGACAGCTAGTGAAATAAATATGGAAAAACAGAATCAAACCCGAACAATAGAATCGGAAATTCCGTGCACCCCGCTTATTGTCTGGCCGGAAATGGCTTTGCTGTCGGCATCAAAATCTCAGCACCTCAATCCACACAACTCGACAAGACTCAAGGCAATGCAATCAAAATGTACTCGATGCGGCAGTATAGATCCCCAGATATTTTAGAGAAGAATTCAATTATAATTAAAAAAACTTATAATTAAAAAACTTTTCCCAAATCATTATCTTAATTATATTAAATCTTGTTATCCTCTTAAGTCATTTATAAATTAAACAAGAAAGGAAAGCTAACTTCGGGCGGAGCCGAAGTTGAAATACCCTTGCAGAATATTCTGTAAATTATATTCTTCAAAATTATTCATATGATGCATTCTTAATACTCATAAAAAATCCCAACTTCCTAACTTTAAAAACAACAAAGTTATGGCATTTCCAATCGTTCAGTTATATGGCCGCTATAGGATATAGTCGGCCGATCCCTATGAAATTTGGTGGGTCGGATCGATTGGCCAAAAATAAAACCCATAGAAAATCCCAACTTCCTAACCTTACAAACACCCAAGTTATGGCATTTCCGATCAATCAGTTATATGGCAGCTATAGAATATAGTCGGCCGATCCTTATGAAATTTGGTAGGTCGGATTGATTGGCCAAATATAAAACCCATAGGAAATCCCAGCTTCCTAACTTTACAAACACAAAAGTTATGGCATTTCCGATCAATCAGTTATATGGCAGCTATAGGATATAGTCGTCCGATCCTTATGAAATTTGGTAGGTCGGATTAATTGGCCAAAAATAAAACATATAGAAAATCCCAACTTCCTAACTTTAAAAACACCAACGTTATGGCTTTTCCGATCGTTCAGTTATATGGCAGCTATATGATATAGTCGCCCGATCCGGCTCGTTCCGACTTATATACTACCTGCAATAGAAAGACAACTTTTGGGAAAGTTTCAAGCAGATAGCTTTAAAACTGAGAGACTAGTTTGCGTAGAAACGGACGGACGGACAGACGGACAGACGGACAGACGGACAGACGGACATGGCTACATCAACTCAGGAGGTGATCCTGATCAAGAATATATATACTTTATAGGGTCGGAAATGTCTCCTTCACTGCGTTGCAAACTTTTGACTGAAATTATAATACCCTCTGCAAGGGTATAAAAACAATTAGGTGAAACAATTATATGATAACGTCAAATAATTTTATATTTTATCAAATAATTAAATGTATTTATAATTAATAATGAGACATTATCCTTTCTTCATCTCCTTTAAAAAGTTACTTTTGAATTTATAAACGGTTTAACCTTGTTTGCAATTCCAAAAATAAATATTTGACTAAAGAAAAACTTCCAACTCTTTTGAGATTTATTAACTACAAAAGGGATTTGTTGTTTTGCTATATTTTAGTTGGTTAGTTGAAATAACCGATTTTTATATTGTGGCGAGAAATCGTTGCATTCCTGTATTCCGAAAATTACATGTTTATTAGTTTTGGAGGGCGGCTAAATGAGCGATGAGGCTCAATTTGAATAGAATTTCATGATAATGGCCGTGCAAAGTTGAGCGCATTTTGTGATTTTCGGTCGGGTTTTTTAGGTCGGCCTACGACGGAATGGATGGCCCCAGTAATCTATCAAATTTACACCCCGGCACGTGGGCGTGGCAGGTACACTGAAAAGCGGAATGGAAAATGGGAATTACGTGACAGGAACGTGAGCGTCAAAATAAGCACAGGAGTCGAACGAGCGACTAGCGAGAGCTACATTAATTCAACAAAAAGCCACATTAAAAGCGTCGTCTGCAACAAATTAATTTTTCCCACCACCCCCGCTGAATACCTCTCCCATTAGCCAGGAAAGCCCAGGAAACCCTATGATACTTCAGCGGGCGAGTGCTTAAATTAAGAGGCTGTAAAAGTCACGCGGTGAGTGAAAAGTGAAACTGGGGGACGTACCAAAAATCATCCACAACAGAGGTACTGAAGAGGGTTGCTAAAACAGCAGGCGTGGGGCAGGTGGGGCTAACTGGCAATAAAAACAATTTCCCAAGTGGAGTTAATGGGGAAGGAATCTTAAATCAAAATCATAAAATCTATTGCTGAGTATATCAAAAATTGCAAACGTTAAGGAATTTGAAACGAACGCAAAAAAAAAGAGTTTTACAGAAAGCCATTAAATTTTTTTTTGATTTTGATTATAACTCTTTTTATATAAATAAAAACTTTTTTAATTTTGTTAGAAAATAATTAAAATATTTATTAGTTTCCAGAATCCATTTAATATGATTCTTTGTCTGAAATCAAAATTTAGACGAAAGCTATTTAAATTTTTTAACGTTTTTCTGTAATGACAAAAATCACAACTTTTTGACCAATTAAAGTCAATAAAAAGTTTAACTGCTTTTAGTAGTTTTGTTTAGTGATTATTGTTTGTTTACGATGCTACTTTTAAAATTGTATAATAATTTATTACATTTCTGTTTTTATGTGAAATTTTTCATCAATTTATAGTATCCCAATTAAAGCGAAAGATTTAAACTCCTGTTTGTTACGCTTGCCTTCCTATGAAAACAATGAAGCTTTTGCTTAAATGCGCGTAATTAACAATGAGAATGCAATTAGCATGGCGACCGAAGGTTGTCATTGTTGTAGTTTTATTTAGGAGTATGTTTTTGTCGGACCGAAGCTGCTTTCTTTGGCCTTCGCTAACAAGGTGCACAATAGGAATAGAACCTGCCCCCAGCCGTCGACGTCGTCGTCGTCGTCGACCCATCGACCCGTCGACCTGTCGCAACATCGACAGGACACGAAAAGTTGCAGCTGCCACCTTTGGCCTTCGCTGTCCTCGCTGCATCTAATTGGTTTTTGTTTGTGTGTGTTCTACCCGTCTCTCTCCTTTCCGCTCTGTCCTTCTCTTTCTCGTCATTGTTTCGTGCAGCGACGTTTGCTTTTATTGTTTGCTCATTATAACGCCAGTTACCTGACGATCCACGTCCAACCGAGCAGGACTCGGACTCAAAATCCGACTCAGACGAAGGCTTTGGGAACTTTTCCGCATTGCAGCAATTGCCCGGGCTTAACTCATTTTAAATGACAATCTAGCGTGCAGAAATTATGCACATCGCTCTGTCCTCGTCCGTCTCTTTCGCCCGATGGGCCTCTCTAGGCGCTTCTCAAAAAGTCTTCGTGGGCTTGCACAATTTCAAAACGATTTCGCTGTTTCTGACTGTGGCATAAAGTTCGATAAACTCTTTAAGTGACTTAATCGATTCTCTGGGCCAGTCGAGGGAAGCGGAAAATGCTCTTTAGAGCGTCGGGAACAAGGCGTAATGAAAGTTCATCGCGTTGACTGCGGCAATTTGCATATTTTTGCATGTTTTATTATGCGGCTGGCATACACACACACGAGCACACGCTAATACATAAATTACACTCATTTTCAATGACAGGACGGACAGGGATAGAGGCTACAAATAACGAGGGCACCGGCGGGAATCGAGCTGGGACAGGCAAAGCTTTATTACCGGAACGCTGTGTTTTAAATATTTGATATCTAACACATACACTCACGTCCAAACACACTCATAATTGCCTTTTTTTCAGGGTCTGGGCATAAACATTGTTTTTTGGCCCCTGCCTAATACCTTGAATTACGTTCATTCATGCCTGCATATGCCGAGTATAAGGACCTTAGTTAAATAGCCCACTTAGGAGTAATTACCATCAACCGTCTGCATTTACATTGTGCATATCAATGTATTTCTGCATAGTCACTTAGAGTACAATCGTCAGCTGTGCTTAATTTGATAGAAATGACCGGAAATCTGTTGTGGAGAGAGATAACGTTCGTGTACTTCGCTATATAATTTAGACGAAATTGAAGTGTGTATTTGATAACTGCATATTCGTATAATAACCGTTTTTTATTTTTTGTAATCAAACGGAAACACGAGTAAACCATAAAAATGAATGTCACTTAGGATATAACCTTTTGATACATCTTTTGAAGTGCTTTTATCCAATTAGTCTTTAGGCTTATAATCTCGTATGCGTAAACAAATAGTTGCGATTGGCATCTGCAAAATTTGAATATACTTTATGCCGCATCAATTAGGTTAATTACACTATACGCCTGACCTACTTTCAAAAGCAAGATTTCCACATCTTAAACTCGGATAGCAGCCACCCAATCCCTAAGTCAAGGCTTTAATTACACTTGCTGGCTGAGGTCCCAGTGAACACATTTTCTTAGCCATTTTTGTGTGTTATCAATTTTTGGCTGTAATTACACTTCACTTGTACTCTCAGAGAAATGCAAACGTTGGAAAATAAAGAGGAAGGGGGGCTATGGTAGAAAAGTTTTGGCAACATGTGCGCCCCTCTGCAGCAGTTTCGCATTTTGC